TTGTGTGTTGGGGAAAGGGGATTTGGAAAGTAGAACCTGGCAGCCTCCACCATTTAAGAGATACTTACAGACTTTGGAGAGGTGATGAATGATGGGAGTGGAGAAGGCATAATGAAAACAAGTGGTTCAGGTTGACTGTCTGCTGGGGTTGATGAGCCGCTGCAATTTAAATAGCATAAATTAGCCTAGTGGCTAGCAGATTTTCCTTACTCATAGCTCTGCTACTCTTACCTGGTTTGATTCACTGCATCTCCTGACATCTCCAGAGATGAGTTCAGCCCAACTTAGCTGCACTGAAAAGCATATTGATAGGGAGTAGGGCTGCACGAAAAATCTAATTGCGATTTTTCTGACAAATATTGCGATTCGAATTGCGATATTTGTTTTTAAGCGACCTAACGGAAGTTTATTGTAAAATGCGGCCAGAACTCCGTCTAGGAAGGTCGTATCAACGTGCTCCCGTCTCTAGCACCCCCGCAGCCCGAGCTACGAGTAAAAAAACTAAACTTACATGAAACTTCCGTTGGGTTGCTTTAAAGTCAAGCTTCAGTTTAAGATTCACCCTGTAATAGAAACATGTGATGGAGCATTACTAACCTGACCCAGATGGTTTGTTTCACCAAACCATCTAAAGCTCCATTGGAAGCCATTTGGAAAGGGCAGGCACTAGGGCTGTGCGATTATGGCAAAAATCATAATCACGATTATTTGGTCAATAATTGATATCACGATTATTTTGACGATTATTCATTGACCATTTATTGAACTTTAAAACAAATAATATTTTACCAATAAACAAGATCAACAAATATGTTGGAGCGCACTTCCAAAACCATACTAAACATATATTAATATGATAAATAAAAATAAATTAGACCAAAATAAATGAAATCAAATATGATGCAGTGCACTGTCACAACCTACTGAAAACTCCTTAACATATAGCCAACATGTTGGTAAAACATATTCAACATATTCCACTCAGTTAAACGTTGAAGGCTGGCCAACCGTCATGGTCCAGAAGTAACAGGAAATAAATGTTGAACTACAATTTAAGACCAAATAAAAATGTTTAGGCCACCATGGCAAATGCTGGTAGAGCTGCTCATGTCATCTCTTAAAGATGTTTTGCAAGAAACACCAGCCTGTTTACATGGTCTGGTTTCAGAGATGAGCGCAGGCAGGTGACAATATTGCCACCTGTACTGAAGACCCTCAGCCACGCTCCGACACATGGGGTGACGCCGGCCAATCACAAAGCTTTGATGCGTTCAAGTGCATTATTCTGGCACAGGAAGATTATGTTACAGGACATAAAACAGAATATTGTTGTTCTATTTTTAGACACATCTCGCGATCGACTGGTTGGGCACCCCTGGGCTAGACCATAGGTCCGTTGTGGTCGCAAAGTAGTCAGCTGAAGCCACATCTCTCTCAACTTCCCCACGGCATTTGTCACATAGTGCAGGCAGCGCAGACCTGCTGAAATAATACCGAGACGGCATCGCGTAACGCTTGTCCAACGTGTTGACAAGTTGCTTAAAGCCCTGGTTGCTAACTGGGCACATATCTTTAGCGATGTGGAATGTAATGGCAAAGTACTTGCAAATAGTGGAAATAGTTTTACCCTTCTTTTTAACGAGTTGCTGCTCTTGTTCTGACATCTTCGCTCGCGCTGAACACTCACAACACATGTCACTCCCACGTGGCCGAGTGGGCTTTTAGGGAGGGGCGAAAGCGCACCCAGCAAAATAATCGTATTTTGTCAATTATGCTGTTTTCATAATCGTCGCAAGCCATAATCGTAATCGCGATTAAAATACGATTAATTGCACAGCCCTAGCAGGCACTTTCAAAAATACTTGGTGATTGGATCAATCTGTCCATCACCTTCTATCATGGGCTACTTCTGATTGATTAACAATGACTGGTACATGTGGAGCACAGCACTTCTGATTGGTGTGGATGACTGACCCACAAGAAGAAAAAAAAAAAAAAATGTAAAAAAAAAAAAAAATGTTTAAAAAAATCGCAGGCTTTGTGATTTGATAATCCCATCATTTCAAATCGCGATTTCGATTTAAAATCGATTAATCGTTCAGCCCTAATAGGGAGAACTACTGGGTCTACAGCTGGAAGCAGACATCGGGTATTTACATCATTACTCTGCTCCACCTTGTGCAAAGCCCCATCCTCTGTGAAACACAGGAGAGAGGGGGGAAACAAGCGTGATGGTAAATAACAGCATACTCACACTTGGCTCAAATAAAACACAAAGTGCACATAAATTAGGTAAATAAAAATGTTTAAGGGGCCGTTTGGTGAAACCCTGGATTATAGAAATATGAGGAATCAAATGTGAGCAAGGGTGGAAGGGAAGTAGAGGAAATTGTGTTTCCTCTATTTGTTTGTTGAGGCCAAGATGGGAATACAAATAGAAACTGCTATTTAAAAAGCACATGTCTCCATGCTTTAATGTTCAAAAGCTCTTTATTTTGTTCATACTGCCTGTGCTGCAGCACCTCTTTTCACCCTCTGTCTGAAACCAGAGCCCAGTCTGCTCTGATTGGTTAGCTGGCCGGCTCTGTTGTGATTGGTCAACCGCTTAGAGATGTGTATGAAATGTCCCGCCCCTTAGCCTATTACATACAATGCTAGCTAATAGAAGTGCGACTTAGTGATGTCACTATGTTACAGAAGTAAACAAAGGAGTCCAATGGAGATGTTTCAGGCAGGGGGTTGGAGTGTGTGGCAGAGAAACTCCCTCTGGAGGTAACACAGGGATTGGAGCCTTTAGGCGCGTTCACACCGGAGTACTTTTACCCGTACTTTTTCCGTTTAGTTTTATATATTCCGATATATATATTTTTTAATCCTCTGGAGCAGAGAGAGGAGCTGTGGATTATTGTTATTGATTATTGCATCAGTGTTTCTTAGGGTCAAAAACACTAAACTCACAACTTAAAATGAAAGCGTTTAGTTCATTTAATAAAAGAGCACATGTTCAATGTGAAAAGTGACAGTAGATATAGATTAGTTGCAATTTGGTGCTATATATATATATATATATATTTAAAAAAAATAGTAATTAATAATTTAAAAAAAATTATAATCTTTTTTTTTTTTAAACTCCTTGAATTTCAGGAGGGGCGCGGGGCGCAGCGCCCCTCCAAGACAATGGTAGGGGAAACACTGGCCGTTCTGGCGATTTACTCGGAAGGCTTCAGTAGAAGCTGCTGGGAGTCCCAGCAGCTTCTACTGAAGCCAGTCCCCAACTCCGGGGACTTCCGGTGGCAGTATACGCCGTGAAGTTGTTTGCAGCCTGCCAGTAAACCCAAAGCAGAAGAAGAAGAAGTGGCGTCAGCGGCTTCATTTGCCTAATCTTCCCTCAGCGAACTTATTCCGGTGTGAACGAGATCTGTACTTAGTTCCATGGGGGTACTAAGTGCTGGGCACTAAGTACGGCAAAGTACTTGGTGTGAAAGCGGCTTTTGCAGACCGTTTACATGGAAACACACCTTTTATATAACATACTACAGGAAAGGGAAAACCCTCAAACATATAATAGGGTCTCTTTAAAGTTATTTCAAACCCTTTATTTTATGTTGACAAGCAGAATGATGTATTCTCTAATTACCGGTGCAGAATTCAAGCTTCTCTTGTTGCTAAATGGGGAAGTTTGGTTCTCAGCTGACAATGCTTGAGCGGATATTGTGTAGAGCTGCCATGTTATTGTGGTTATGTGTGGACTGTTTCTCTCTAAAGAGGCTGGAAGCGTTGCTATAGTAACATTGCTGCTGTGAGTGAGCCAGGTGTGAGGTGGTACGCCTGCCGTCCCTGGGGCTTTCTGCCTCTCCACACCTCACCATCTCTGGCTCCACTCACACTCAGACGCATAAGCACACACTAATACAAACACAACCCGAGTAGTACTACCAGCAGCAGTAGCTCAGTACATAAGGACTTTACATTTCAAATGTTTGTATTTATTTTGTAAATTATAAACATTTAGGTTTATATATTATTATTATTACTGGAACAATTAAGGCACTCAAATGGTGACAAATTGTCTTGTAGTAGATAAACTACAATTTTGTTCACCAGATTTACTGAAATGATGTTGCATACCAAACCAAATGTCCTGAATCCAACGGTTCGATACGAGAACAGTACCGTGACAGCTGTTGCTTTGCAATATCGATAAATGTGACAATATTTATCAGAACATTTTAGGGCTGCACGATTTAGGGAAATAATCTAATTGCGATTTTTCTGACAGATATTGCGATTCGATTTGCGATATTTGTTTTTAAGCGACCTAACGGAAGTTTATGGTAAAATGCGGCCATATCTCCATCTCGGAAGGTCGTATCAACGTACTCCCGTCTCTAGCACCACCGCAGCCCGAGCTACGAGTGAAAGGACTAAACTTACATGAAACTTCCGTTGGGTTGCTTTAAAGTCAAGCTTCAGTTTAAGATTCTCCCTGTAATAGAAACATGTGATGGAGCATTACTAACCTGACTCAGATGGTTCACCAAACCATCTAAAGCTCCATTGGAAGCCATTTGGATCAATCTGTCTATCACCTTCTATCATGGGCCACTTCTGATTGGTTAACAATGGCTGGTACATGTGGAGCAAAGCACTTCTGATTGGTGTGGATGACTGACACACAAGAATAAAAAAATAAAAAAATGGTTTTAACAAAAATCGCAGGCTTTTGATAATCGCATCATTTCAAATCGCGATTTCGATTTCAAATCGATTAATCGTTCAGCCCTAGAACATTTCCATGATGATTTTATTTTAGGATGTCAATTAAATTGAGATAATCCATATTATGATCCCAATGTTTTATATTGTACACAAAGAACTGTTCCAGAAATAGTGTTATTTCTTCAATTCTGACAGAAAACCAAATGCTTTCATGCGTTAATGCTGTGGTCCTGTAATATGTATATGCTGTGATTGAGACTGTTTGGTTCCCTCTGCCTCAGATATCTGGAGTCTCGGTGTGATCCTGTTCATGTTGGTATGCGGCCAGCCCCCTTTCCAGGAAGCCAACGACAGCGAGACTCTCACCATGATCATGGACTGTAAATACTCGGTTCCAGACCACGTGTCCAGCGCCTGCAAAGAGTGAGTGATCCATACACACAGAGTTCCCGTTAGAATATCTTTTCGCCGGTCAACATGTCCGTTAAAGTTGAAATCTTCCGGACAAAATTTGAAAAGTGCCGGTCAAAGGTCTTCTTTGTTATTTATTGAGCTTTAAAACAAATGGATATGATTCGATATTAAACAAACTAGGGATGCACGATATTGTTTTTTTGAAACCGATACCGATAACTTCCTGCTTCTCAAGACCGATACCGATAACCAATAATAATATAATATATATATATATATTAAATGTACCCTTAGTTTTTGCACACCTGGTGGTAAAAAAAAGACTAGTAGTGAGCAAATAACATGAGCATTACTACTATGAACAAAACTAACCCTGGGGTCGTCTCTGGCAAACTTCTTGCCTTTTTCAAAAGCCTCGTCGATAGGTAAAAGCCCCGGTGCCTTTGCAGCTGGCTTTGGATTCGCCGCTAGTTTAGCAGCGCAGGCGTCTTCGTACGCTTTTAACACACCATCGTAGCGATGGCGATGTTTCAGGTGACTAATCAGGTTGGAAGTATTATAGCTCGTTGCCTTTTTCCCTCCTCGTGGAACTTCTGCATTTGTTAATACAAATAGCAAGCGAACTATCTAACTCTGAAACTTTGAAATAGTCCCATACTACCGGCGACATGTTTGTTTACTGTCCTGGCTTCACGGCCGCACACCATTTACGTCACAGCCAGGCATGAGTTAGGGAGCGCTGGATTTGTGAAGAACTCCCCTCTTCCTAAACCACTAATACCACAGTACTGGCAAAACGGGAGGAGCCGAGTGAAAAACAAGCGCCCCTCATCCCAATCCGCAGTATTTTATTTTATTTTATTTTATTCTTTTTTACCCAAAAAATATATTGTATATTATCGGGGCTATTAATACTGTTATCGGGTTTATCGGGATGACGTCATAATTCCTAATATCGGGCCGATAATTATCGGGCCGATAATTATCGTGCACCACTAAAACAAACTAATCATAGTAGATTAACTACATTGTTCAAAAGTGAACCGTAACTTACAATAACACGGGAATAATAAACAGAGCGCTCTCTCCCTCTCCTGACAGCCCGTCAGTATCATGCAGCTCGCAGATCAGTAATGAGTGACCCGACAGTAAAACTAAACATATCTATAGTTTAGGTAGTTTGAGAGGTAATTAAAATAGCTACGTGTGATATTCTAACCTAAAGTGTGTGTTTTGTTCCGCTCACCGCTGCATGTGATCATGCAGAGCTGCGTGTCGACTTGTCAGCAGCAGCTGATCTCCCTCTCCCGTCAGATTAGACTTCACTCGCGTTTATGTCCATATCGATCAGATCTAGCTAGTTCTAGCTAATGATAGGACTACCTGATTATTAAAAGACACCTAAACAATAAGCGTTGCTATGCAACTGGGTGAGGCCACAAAGTATAGCGCAGCATTATGCATTTGTTTACATGCCCACCGGAACCCCGAGGCATTACCAACAGATCAACGCACAATCAACCCATACAGGACATCTCTTTCTCCACATTAAGTTAGACATTAGAATTGACTCTTCTTGTCTGTCACATACTCTTCTTGTCTGTCACATAAGTGGCGCAAGTTGGGCAACTGATGCGGTATTGCGCTAAGGGGAAATTATTTTGACAGGACACTTTGACCGGAGAGATTTAGATTAGCCGGTCTTCAGCATATTTTACCGGTAATAGTCCGGTAATTACCGGCTAATGGGAACTCTGCATACACAGCCTTCACACACCGCCACCTCTGTTTAGTCACACTAGAATAAGGTGGTGGGCTTTTTCCCTCGGTGTTGGCTGTCAGGCACAGGCTCTATCCTATTAGCAGCACCAAAGCCCTGTGAGTGTCCCACTTCACTCCTGCTGTCTGTGTCTGTAGTCCACATATGGAAAGAGCAGTTTGGAGGACGGCAAGTCACATGAAGCTGACATCGCATGCTGTTCTTTAGGAGAAGAGAGGAGAATAGGAGAGACGTGAAGGAGAGAGGAGAGGAGACATGCTCCCAGGACTTCGCTCTGCAGCACTCCAACGAGTTGTCAATGACCGTGCCGAGTACAGTAGAGCATCCTTCAAATCTTTCTGTCATTTAATACAAAATATTTACAGAAATGATTCAGTTATCTTAACTTCTACCTTAGAGAGTTGAGGCACCTAACCTAAGCAGGATCCTCAACATTTTAAAACATGATAAATCTCAGTCGGGTTAGAAACTAAATCTGTGATTACAACACAGTAGTTTAGAGTTCTCTGGAATAACTGGCCTGCCTCTCAGGACGGCTTTGGAGCCGGGTGTGTACACAGCCGGGATGTATTTCTGTAGGCCGACCCGGAAGGTTACTTTGCAATTCCCTCTACAAAAAGCAATGGGTTTTCCCAATTGAATTTAGGTATATTGCAGAAAATAAGCTTTGTGGCCAACACACTTTTAAGTTACTTAACACGTTTTGTTCAGCAGGGTAATCTCCACTTATACTCATTTGTCATTTTTTAAGAATAAATGCAATTGCCAAACGTGTTGGAAACACACATAGAAGCTTCAGACATTCATCAGTGAAGTGCTTACTGACATGTTATGCGGTAGAATAAAATGTGAAAATCTCGTAAGCTTGTGTTTACCACAGACCTTATTTCTGTCACCACAAACATACAGCTGACTTCAAGACAAGGTCACAGGAAGTGGTCATTTCTGAGTTTTAGGACCCCTTCCTGTACCACTCTTTTAGGAATGCATGCAAGTATGCTCTCGTTATACTAATTCCTTCGCTCGATACACTCGGTGGTACATTGTTAAGCAGGGGATATCTGTGCCAACATCTGTGGCCAGGGTTATTCAAGAAAATACCAGACACTTATGTCTCTACTATGAACCTTATTGTCTGCATTACCCCTCTGAGTATCACAACATTTCATTAGCTCACCCAGAAAACCTTTTTGCACAATTGCATGAGGCAGTTCCAGACTTGCTGTATACTAAAGTTAGTCGGAATAGGCAGACAGTAAATGTCGTTGCAGAGAAGAAGCCGCTGTTACTTTCCATCTAAGGGATAACGAGTGGATTTCATGGGTCTAAGCAAAGGCATTGGATCCACTGTGATCAACATGTCGTAAAGGCCAATTCTTATCTCCCCACGCTCACTGCATGTTGTATATTTTTAGACACAGGAAATAAATGTATTTCCTAGGAGGGATGTGAATAGATTGCTGTGCTAAGCTGAAGCAGCTGTGGGCCATCTGCTGGGCTCTGACTGCAGAGTGACCGTGTCCACAGCGCACGTTGTTACCATGTCAGTCACGGCTCCACTCAGCATACGGTTCCAAGCAGCTCCTGCTGATGATGCGCTGGTTCTGCTGCTCAAGTGAAGGATTATGGGGGATTCACTCAGTTCTCTGAACATTGCAATTTGGCAATCCAAAAAGAATCAACCACTTCCAGATGCTAGGTGTGGATTAGATCATGAGACAAATCACAATCATGTTGAGGCATTCAAGGACTCTGCTGTGGAGCAGGAATGAGTCTTAAAACTACTTCCTGTTCCCTCGTCTTGAAATCAAAGGTTTTTGAGTGTGTTTGAAGTGACATGGTGAGAGATTTCCACGTTTTGTTGTACGACATAAAATACATCAGTAATTGACAAAACAAAACATTAGTATCTGCATGTGTTTCAGAAATACAACCTGTGTGCATCCTTAATTACAATCAGTCATTCTTCACTCTACAACTCCACATCAACCCACTTCTGAGCAGTGTTTGTTTGTACCATCACTAATTCGTCTTAAGGGATGACATTGTGTGTCGCCACACTTACTGATTTAGCTCCTGTATTTGTGTCTTCCAAACAATCCCACCCCATCGATCCACCATGTTCCTTTATTTCCTGTTCCTCTTCTCAGTCTCTCCAAATCAGTTCTCTCCATGCTCATGTCATAAGCTCCCAATACATCTTTCAATTCATATCAGATTTGATATTATTTATATGATGTTATTATTATTATTATTTTTCCTTTTACCCTCCAAATTTGGTCCAACAAAAATTCTGTTGAAGCAAACTGCAGGAACAATGAAAGCATGTGGGCCAAAAGGGGTGCACAGTGCTGAGCTAGTGAGGGTCACATGTCTCTTCATGTAACTCATCTACTGGTTTACTTTGGACACCAGAGCTCTCTTTACTCTCTTCCTGTTCTCTCCTCTTCTTTAGTCTGATAGACCGCATGCTTCAGAGGGATCCCAAGCACCGGGCCTCCCTGGAGGAGATCGAGGGCCACGCCTGGCTGCAGGGGGTCGACCCCTCCCCAGCCACCAAGTTCAACACTCCCCTGGTGTCCCACAAGAACCTGTCGGACGAGGAGCACAACAGCATCATCCAGCGCATGGTGCTGGGAGACATCGCCGACCGAGAGGCCATAGTGGAGTGAGTCGTGCTGTCTTTGGATGTAACATTGGTTCCCTTGGTTGGCAAAGCACTTAAACATTGGACAGTGCTGATTTATGACAGTGCTGAGCTGCATCTCAAATTCATTTTCAGTTTCCTAGCTTTCATATGATGTACACCACTTCTATGTGGCAATTAAAAGAATCTTTGGTAGGGAGGACATCAGTACTTTAATACCAGCGGTGTACACCATTTTTCTGTTAGCAGATATTTACTGGACTTCAAAAAAAGATAGTTAAATCTTTGCAGTCATGGAAATAATTCCCCTTTAAACACAATTTTGTTGTGGTTAGAAAAGGACGTTTAAAACGGGCCTGACCTTGGACGACTTATCTGGTTTTGAGTCGAATGAATCTAACTCTACTTTTTGAATGCAGTGATCTTCCTATCAGAGGATCAGCGGTTCAGTTCCTGCCCCTGCAGTCAACATGTCTGAGTCCTTGGTGAAGACACCATTTGTAACCGTTGTTAATATGTTGTTTCAGAGCCCTGGAGACCAACAAGTACAACCACATCACAGCCACGTACTACCTGCTGGCAGAGAGGATCCTGAGGGAGAAGCAGGAGAAGGAGGTGCAGACCCGCTCCTCCAGCCCCAGCAACACCAAGGCCCACTTCAGGTACACTACGCAAACACTGCTTTTATTCCCATACAAATAGAGGGCTATAGTGCTGCGGCTGAAAACAAGCCATATTGAAACGTGAGCAGGTCACAGACGTTGTGGGAAATGACGTGTATGGACCTGTACTTCTGGACTAGTGGTCTGCTGGGCCCTGAATCTCAACGCATGCTCAGCAATATAATACACCACAGCGTAGTGCAACTATTACTACATTTGGAACCAATCAAAAAGAGAGGACGTTTTTTGTATCGAGAGCTCTTGTATTTCATGGTATTTTCAAGCTGCATGCTTTATGGTTTTGTTTGGGCATGCAAGGGGGAGGAGAGGCGATTTCTAATTCTATCATTATTATGAAAAAGCCACAACAGAAGCAGCAGCAGTTATTCAGGGTTGATTACATTCAAACCAATACACTGTGTCTGCACCAGATAAGATTGAGATGACTCTAATCCCTGATCCACATTGGTTTTTTGGTTGTTGTTTTTTTGTGTATTGCGAGTTGAACCGGCGACCGTTGGTTCCTCAGCCAAGAGAAAAGGTCCTTCTGGACGTGGTCAGTAAGACTCTGAAAGTCTTTCTAACTGCGGCCTTGAGCTTGAAAGAACTGGGCATGACTCAGGCTGGAAATGAAAGATGACTTTGAGTGCATTCTGAGAAATGTAAGAGTTCTTGGAACTTGACTCATTGTGGGAATTAAATATCTCCACATCTGCTGCTTTAATATTTCCTTTTTGGATATGTCTCCTGTGAGTCATCTTGCTGTCAGTGTTGACCCCAGTGAAGGGGATGTAGTGTTATGGTTACCTAATGAGTGAGGGAACGCATGTTGTTCCTCTGCTGTAATCATAGCCTTCCTTCCTGTCCTCCAGCCGCTCTCTTTTAATTGCTGCATTACTCACTGTCGGCTAACAATGAAAACACAGTGGCCTTTGTGCTGCAGCGCTATGATACAATAACAAACACTGAATAAAGCTCAGCATGGACACAACTGATCTGGAATCAGATTCACAGCATTTCCATTAAAGGAAGCAGAGTGAGGAGCTGATGTATCTAGAGCCTGTAGAGGGGCCGGTTAATGATCTGAGAAAACGTTCATACTGACCAACTGTGTTTATTTATTATTACAATAAGCAGTACTTTATTTCACTGTACAGTATTACATTTTATTTTCTGCTCATCATATTATATTTTACTTGTATATATTTCACTTCTCCTGCATTAATGCACATTAGTCTTGCAACATTCTCTTGCACAATTGTATTTGTATCCTGTTATTTCTTGCACTATTTGTATTAAGCTTGGGACTTCAGATGAGCTGCCCTGTAGACACTGCCTAGGACCGTAAAGCCTTAGAATCTTTGATCCCGTGTGCAGGCAGTCGTGGCCCAGCAGGGTGGACATGCACCAGGACATCGAGGACAGCCTGGCAGCGTCCTCCATCTCCCACGCTGGGGGCCCCCAGTCCCCCGCCCGCAGCATAGAGAGCCTCCTCAACGGGCACCGCTCCAAAGGCCTGCTGCATCTGGGCCGACGCGGCGAAACGGTGTGTGACTCAGCGCTGGCTAAGGTGGTGTGTGGTGTGTGTGTGTGTGTGTGTGTGTGTGTGTGTGTGTGTGTGTGTGTGTGTGTGTGTGTGTGTGTGTGTGTGTGTGTGTGTGTTGTGTGTGTGTGTGTGTGTGTGTGTGTGTGTGTGTGTGTGTGTGTGGTGTGTGTGTGTGTGTGTGTGTGTGTGTGTGTGTGTGTGTGTGTGTGTGTGTGTGTGTGTGTGTGTGTGTGTGTGTGTGTGTGTGTGTGTGTGTGTGTGTGTGTGTGTGTGTGTGTGTGTGTGTGTGGTGTGTGTGTCTCAGACCCTAATGCATGTGGCTGTCTCCTTCCAGGGAGCCTGTGCTGCTGGGACCCCCAGGGCCCCCGCACCATCCACCTCAGCAGCAGCCAAGCAGAGAGGCTGCCTCTTCAGGTAATCTCAGCGGAGCTCACACCCTTCATCACTGAAGGATGACACTTTATAGTCCTCTTGAGGACATTAGTTCTAGGGTGCATTCACACCTAATAGTCCGCTCTCTGGTGCGTACCAGACGACAGTTTGTTACATTGTTTCATTTCTCAGAAGGTTCGGTTTGCGTTCACACGGGCAAAACTCAATCGGACTATACATTTTAAACACAAGTCATGTGCACGGAAATGCTGTTCAACCATTGGCAGACATTAAGGGGGTAAAAACGCAATTCCCGGCAATTTCTACTGGAGCCTCCGCCATGGAGCATCGCACTTTCGGCAGGTTATTCTCATGCTGCTGTTAATCTGGAGATCAACAGACACTAGCGGCCCGCGCATATGATTATATAATCAGACAACGTCCGTTAAAAAACATTATAACACATATAATGAGAGACGTTCTGCAGTCAGGAGGAGGTTTCACAGACGACAGGTGTTCTTACTTTTATGTAGCTGACGGAGAGTTTTTACTTTACACGACACTGTTCAACACTTCATTCTGCTTCACTCTTTAACTAAACAACCGCGGATGTCTTGAAAGACTCTTTCGCTAAAGATTTTGAAGACATCCGCGTTCTTGTGACACGTAAATACTACGCTTCCTATGTTTTGGTGCGGACTGCGTTCACACCAGCAATGAACCGCTCCAGAGTTCGCAAGCAAGCGTTCCGAGACCACCTATTTTAGCGGACCAGAGTCCGGTTGTTTAGTTCACTTAAGAGGTCTCGGACTGTGTTCACATCGACCCAAATGAACCGCACCAAGCGGCTAAACGCACCAGGGTTCGATTCAACCGGACTATACAAGGCAGGTGTGAACGCACCCTTAGACTCCGTCCTGCAGTTTCTCGGATGTCATTTTTTGTGCCGATCTAATGATTGACTGCTGATCCAAAGTGGTTCTAAAGAATAATCAGGCCAACATTTTTTAACCGAGTTTCTCATTTACCGCTCTTCTGTTTGAAAGCCATGGGAACAGTGAAGGTGCAGAGACCGACTCAGAAAGAAACAGGAACTGACTGTCCTCACTTCCTTTGTGTTTCAGGGTGGCAGAGGATGAAGAGGATGAGGAAGAGCAGGACCCGGCCAATATCCACAGCCAGGTGGTCCTGAGGCGTAAGCCCCCCTCCATCACCAACCGCCTCACCTCCAGGAAGAGCGCCCCGGTGCTCAACCAGATCTTCGAAGAGGGGGAGTCGGACGACGACTTCGACCTGGACGAGGGTCTGCCGCCCAAACTCAGCCGCCTGAAGATGAACATGGCAGGCAACGCGGCCAACCTGAGCTCCGGGGCCTCCCCAGGGGCCACACACAAGCGCTACCACCGCCGCAAGAGCCAGGGGAGGGGGTCCTCGTGCTCCAGCTCTGAGACCAGCGACGACGACTCGGAGAGCCACCGCCGGCGCCTGGACAAAGACTCAGGCTTCGGGTACGGCTGGAACCGGAGAGACAGCAGCGAGGGGCCGCCCGGCAGCGAGGGGGGCAACGGGGGGGGCAGCAGCTCCGGGCCCAGTAAACCTTCTGGGGAGGGAGGGGGGACCTCCGGCCCAGACAAGGGGAGTCCGCCTGGAGGTAACGGAGGAGAGGGTGGTAACGGGGGAAGCGGCGGAGGGGGGAGGGGGGGAGGAGGGGGGGAGAGTAAAGGACAGGACAGTCCCTCCAGCTGTTGTCACAACAGCAGGAGCACGAACCCCTCCCTCAGCACGGAGCTGGTGGAGAGCCTGAAGCTGATGAGCCTGTGCCTCCGGGGCCGGGGGGGGCGAGAGGGGGGGGAGTTCCTCTTTGATCCTCGCAGCCTCCCGGGGGGGACCGTGAAGATCCAGGAGAAGTCTGCGTGGAGGATGTGCATCGGCTCCACCGGGAGCCTGGACACCATCACCCTTCCCGCCACCGCCCTGCCCCGCCCACACGCCCCCCACCGCAAGACAGCAGCGCACGGCCCCCCTGGCAGCAGGCATCCTCACAGCAGCCTGAGCGCTCTGAAGAACGGGGTGCTGCAACTACCTCTGTGTGAGAAGACCCTCTCTGTGAACATCCAGCGGGGGGGGGGCTCGGCCCCCGTCAGCTGCTGCCAGGTCATCTGAGCAGCAGCTTGTAACCCCCCCCCACGTTTTTTTGCTGAGTATGCGGGAAAACATGTATTACATTTTTGAGCATTGAGTAAATATATCAAAAGAAAAGAGAGGTTCATTTGAAGAGGCCAAAGTATCAAATACATTTTAATATCAAGACTAGTTATTTTACAAAAAAAACATATTTTGAGTCTAAACTGTCATTTATTTTTATTTTATTTTAATAATTCAATTTAAATTCATAATTCTGAGGAAGAATTAAAATTGCCACTTTATTCTCAAAACACTGTATCTTTTCTTTGCGTCCCTCAGAAGGTATTCCCTGACTCTCTGTGGTACAGCTGACTCAGCAGAGCCCCCTTGGAACTGGGAATATGTTTCTGAGTTCATGAGTTGTCTTTTATAGAAGGGAAGAGAGAAAGTTTTAATTTAGACTCCAGTTTGGATTCAGTGTTGCACTTGAACGATGTGTTTTCTGATGTTTTAAAGCTGTACTTCTCCCAGAGACATTCTGTCAGAGCCCTTTCCATCTGACGAGATGAGCTGTTCTTATTTTTTTATTCATATTCCAGTGTTTTGCTGACGGAGCATTACGTGCGTCTGGTTTGACCTCTGCTGGCTCCCTGCAGCCCACCTGTATATACAGTCTGTTGAAAGTAAAGTTTATTTTTAAATCCTGTACATTTCTTTGGAGCGATGTGCTGTTGGGACATGTGAGGGGTGATGCTGTGCAGCAGGAGGGGCTCACAGTCAGCTAAAGAGAGCATCACATAAAGGGGAGGGGGACGGGGGACTCTTGAGGGCATTGGCAATAAGCTATACGGTGTGTTGCAGCTATCTGTACAGAAACTTTTTTTATTAGTTTTAATTGTTTTGTTTTTGTATTCCTACATTACAGCAGAGGGTTAAGGCCACATGGGATCTTTTTTATAATTAGGGTCTGAGTAATTAAAAACAATTTATTTATTCTAAGATTAAAGTGAGTTTTTCAGTTTGATTTTTTATTCTAACTTAAATTCTAACTTAAATCTCAGAATTGTGACTTAATTCTTAAAATTCATCAATTTTTTTTCTCTGAATATTCAGATTAAAGTGAGAGTTCTTAGGACAAAAAGGTCCGAATTTGGAGACAAAGTCTATCTTTCCCCTCTGAATTCTGAGAAGGAAACTCAATATTTTCTTTATTCTCAAAATTCAGACCATTTTCTCATAATCCTGATTTAAGTCTAAGAACTCAAAAAAATGAATTCAATGTGGTCAGATTGAAAATGTGACCCGACCCTTCTTCCGTACTACATAGCCATGTTTGACTGTAGAGAAAAAAGGAACACGGTTTGAAATGTCTTTTTATCTTTGTGTTTGTTCCTTTTGGAAACCAGTGTAAATGGAGTTGTAAATATGGTGCTCTTTCTCCGAGTGGACACTTTGGTGCATAGCTGTACAGTAATCTAGCCTTATGATAATTAGTAATACTGTCTGGGTGTCCTCTTCATACCGTCAGTCTGTGTGACTGCTCTGTTTCCAGGTGAATGACGTGCATGTGTTTCAGTGTTCAGCGACACACAGGAGAGACTCGCCACAGACGCTACTGGACCAAAAAGCAGCAGAAAAAAGAGTTACGGATTATTCAGTGTATTGACCTGTTGATACCTGTTGTCAGAACTTAGCTATGGTGATATCTAAAAATAAAATGTGGAATACTGTCTCATGCCTGGGCTCTTGATTTAAGTGATCTATTATTTACAGCAAAAAGCAAACATTAAAAGAATGTAGACAAACTCATAACTGCATAATGAAATGACATTTAAATACAAAGTCATTAAAGAGCCAAGACTGAAATAAAAATAATATAAAGTAATTAAAATGTGCTCCACCTTTACCAGCTGTGATTAAACATTATCAATAATCATAATGCAGTTATTTCATATTTATGACGGGCCATTTTACAAGTTCTGTAGTTTTTTTAAGTATATTTTGATGCCAATAGATTTTTCTTTAAAGTAAGATTCTGTATGCAGAACCTTTGTAACGGAGTCAACTTTATTATAGGCACTTAGTACTTCTTCCATCACTGGATTGAATGAAGGCAGAGGCAAACAGCCTTGGTTAATGGCCTGCAGTTCTTCGGGAGTTTGTTTAAGATATGTGGAGCATTGAAACTGAACGTGTTCAGTGTAACCCCGCCACACACAGCAGACCCGTCCCAGACCACAATGTTGGATGCAGGATCAGAAATGTATCTCATTAAGCAGTAGAACCCACCTGGTCGCCCTCACCACCTCTTCTCCTCCGGTGATCCACGTCTCTGCCCCCTGACCGGCAGCAGCTTGGCGAGGTCATTGTTCACAAGAGGGAGACGGCTGAAGGCCGAGACCACGTCCACGTTTCACCGTTTAAAGAGGCCCTTTTATGCTTTTGGGGGGTCTTCCCCTTCCTGTAGTGTGTCTACAGTATACATATAAGCAAATATACTTTTAACACTAAAGCTAACAAACAAAATACCTGCTCAACCTTAAAGATTAAAAAGGCCCTATGCTTTGGGGGTTGGCCCTATGTATAGGTTTCTATGCATGTAAATGGTCTCCAAAGGCTATAATCCTTGTGTTTCTCCCACACCTGTGTGCTGCTAGAAGCTTCCACAGCAGATGGTCCACGCCCACTGTAAACATTATTCATTTCCTCACAAACAATGCTGACTTCCTGGTTGTTAGTGTATGTTTCACAGGTTTCAGGCCTCTTGCGCTGAAATTGAATAACACTACACACACACATTTCATTTCCTTCTGTAGAAGCTTTGATCTGCTTTATTCCCATCAACACTTCAATACAGTAGAACATGTAAACACCAGAGCACACAAACACACATTCATTGATATAGGCATTGCATTTAAGGCACTGAGTGCTCATCTTCACCTTGTTGTGAGTCTTGAGGTTTTTACAACCCAACTCGGCTCCGCGTGTCGTTTTGGCGAGTCCTGCTTAAAATCATAACAGGAAGGAAATCAGAAAACACCAGGATACCAGTTAAACAATAATCTGTTTTAATTATAAAAGGTAATAATGCAATGCAATATAATACATTACAATATAATATACTGTAATGTAAGGAGTACTCCTGCCCTTGTTCGCGTGCTGCTTAGATCCTTCGGTCCTGGCAGCCCGAGAAGAGAGAGAGAACCCAAGGCCGACCAGGCTTTCATACCAAAACAAACAGGAAGGGTTAGGTCAGCTGGTCATCTTTTCAGGTCATCTCATTGGGAGATGCAAAAGATGCTGTGTCACAGCGAATCAGCCGTGCCAGCAGAGAACCAAACAGGCTCAGTTTGCAGCAAAACACATCTTATCATGTAGCTTATCACACAAGAGTCATAGGTGTTTCTTTATGAAAGCCATACTTGTTGGGAATTTAACAGTCATCATCTCATGACCTCCTCAGGGCCAGCTAACCAACAACGCCTAACTGTCTTCATACCACCAGGCCCTCTCTGAACTTCCATCCACCCGAAGTCAGCTCACCCAGAATCAGAAGGACCATTGTCTCTCTTAACTGTGTGACTCAATTCTCAAGGCCTGCAGGATGCGCATCATTAACTTAAGAAGAATTTCACCATTATATCTGAGGAAAATGTGCCTCGCAGTTCTCTTGTTAATTTGCAAAGCCTATTAATGGTTAACCAAGAAAAACACTCAAAGGGGTAATCTTTTCACTCAAAACAGAACTCACAAGTGATTCTGCATTTTACCTCCTCAAAAATAGCCTAAAAACACCCTTTTGATAAAAGGGTAAAAGTGGAAGAAAAAGACTATTGCGCTAATCTACTTTTAAGAAAAAGGGAACATTGTTTCAGGAATCTATAAAAAACCTCTATATTTAAGAGGAAAAATGTACTTTGTTCCTTCAACTATTAACACACAGGAATGTATATACCCACACATATATTAGGGATAACATGATGCAATACACCTCTTATATATGGGTGACATTAAAATGAATATACCAAAAATATGCTGCATCACATTTTCTGCATAATACTTTACATCAATTTCCACAACCTGAGGTAGCATGCTGAGCCCAACACAGCTACATCTGTCCTGGTCAGTCTGGGAAGCATTATGTTTACAAGCATCTGAATACTGAATAGTGGGATTTAATCCCTACATAACACCTATTTAAGCATTATGTTTACAAGCATCTGAATACTGAATAGTGGGATTTAATCCCTACATAACACCTCAGTTTGAAATCTAACAGCCATTGATTTAAGGGAGTAAACATTTATATTTCAAAATCTGAATTTATATGGTTTATTTTCCAAAATAGCAACTTCAAAGTCACACATTTAGATGTAAAGCTCCAACCAGCATCTGAGTAACAAAATATATATTTTTGGACAATAGAATGTTCTATCTTAATTTATGAGTCTTTAATTTTGTAGTTTTTATTTGTGAGGGACATTCCACTCCAGTAGTAATTACATATTATTAGAAATCTTTTGGGGCCACGTTTTGCCTCCCGATGAGCTTCAACCCTCACCCTTCAACTCATAGTTAGATGACACATTCTGACAACATTTGCATAATCCCAAAGGCCAGTATTAATTAATACTGTCTGTATTTAATACAGACATTGTTTCCATCCAGCGATGCTGTGCATATAAGCAGCGTAAGAAACATACATGAAGGGGTGATGTGTTAAAGCTGTGTGCAGCGGAGGCAGGCGTAGGTTCCATTAGCTCCTCCTCTTCTCCTGTCGTCTCCTCGCCTCCTCTCCTCTTCACCTCCTTTTCTCCTCACTGGATCCCCTTTGTGAGCTCCGAGGCTTCAAGCATTTTCTGAAACACAGCAAAGGTACATGTACAATTGTTTTACTGTGACAAGGTGCAGTGTGTGTGGGTGTAATGAATTCATTTTAAATTGATTTAAAGGAGTTGACCACCTGCTATGTTAGTCACCCACCAGCTCGCTGCGGTTTGTCTCGTTGCTCAGCAGAAAGCATTGTTTGGGTCTGTTAAAGCTGAGTCTTATTTTGAAGGTTCAGGTCCTCATTAGTATCAGTGAAAACAGAAGAGGGGCAGAGAGACCAGGGTTGCGGTCGAATAGTCCAAAAATCAGCTCCTAACGTCTATCCCCATCGTCTATCCCTTGACCTCTGAGTGAAAGTCACGGGGTTAAGGGATAGTGGATATGAGAATTCAAAAGGACTTAGGAGAAGAGACGACGGTACTTTAGAGAATCCGACTGCACTTTCACTATGCGACGTGTTTATGATGCGCCAGCGGACGTCATGAATGTGTGACGCAGTGTGACGGAGCAGTGTGACGGAGGCAGTATGACGGAGTGTGACGGAGGCAGTGTGACGGAGTGTGACGCAGTGTGACGGAGTGTGACGGAGGCAGTGTGACGGAGTGTGACGGACGCAGTGTGACGGAGGCAGTGTGACGGAGGCAGTGTGACGGAGCAGTGTGACGGAGGCAGTGTGACGGAGCAGTGTGACGGAGGCAGTGTGACGGAGCAGTGTGACGGAGGCAGTGTGACGGAGCAGTGTGACGGAGCAGTGTGACGGAGGCCGTGTGACGGAGCAGTGTGACGGAGGCCGTGTGACGGAGGCAGTGTGACGGAGCAGTGTGACGGAGGCAGTGTGACGGAGGCAGTGTGACGGAGCAGTGTGACGGAGGCAGTGTGACGGAGGCCGTGTGACGGAGGCAGTGTGACGGAGGCCGTGTGACGGAGGCAGTGTGACGGAGCAGTGTGACGGAGCAGTGTGACGGAGGCAGTGTGACGGAGCAGTGTGACGGAGCAGTGTGACGGAGGCAGTGTGACGGAGGCAGTGTGACGGAGCAGTGTGACGGAGGCAGTGTGACGGAGCAGTGTGACGGAGGCAGTGTGACGAGGCAGTGTGACGGAGGCAGTGTGACGGAGCAGTGTGACGGAGGCAGTGTGACGGAGGCAGTGTGACGGAGGCAGTGTGACGGAGGCCGTGTGACGGAGCAGTGTGACGGAGGCCGTGTGACGGAGGCCGTGTGACGGAGCAGTGTGACGGAGGCCGTGTGACGGAGCAGTGTGACGGAGGCAGTGTGACGGAGCAGTGTGACGGAGGCCGTGTGACGGAGCAGCGTGACGGAGGCAGTGTGACGGAGCAGTGTGACGGAGGCCATGTGACGGAGGCCATGTGACCTCTGGCCTTAAAGAGTTATTACCTTCATTTCATTGCAACACTACGAGCAAGAAGACACGGATGTGAGGGTGAGTGAGTTCCACAGAACATGTGATCATTTCATGCTGACTGTCAGTAATCCTGTTATCAGCATGGGAAAGGTGATGGTGCTCAATATTCCAAATCATCATGTTAAATCAGATCCATACGGAGCCCCTAAAGGGACATGTAAAAAAAACAAAAAAAACAGAGAGAGACAAAAAAAAGTCAGGATAACGAGTTAGTTTCTCGTGCACACGAGATACTAACTCGTTATCCTGACTTTTTTTTTACTAACTCGTGCGCACTTTTTTTTGTTGAGAAAGTTACCGGTGCGCCAAGGAGGAAGTGAAGCGCACAGGAGACAACCATTTCATTGCAGACTATCAATCAATCAATCAATGTTTATTTATATAGCCCAATATCACAAATGTTACATTTGTCTCAGTGGACATTCACAGTTTGTACAGAATATCAGTATGACAATACGACACCCTCTGTCCTTAGACCCTCACATCGTACAAGGAAAAACTTCCGAAGAAAACCCACAGTTTAAAGGGAAAAATGGGAGAAACCTCAGGGAGAGCAACAGAGGAGGGATCCCTCTCCCAGGACGGACAGACGTGCAATAGATGCCGTGACTGTTATGTTTACGTGGGGAAATGACAGTGCAGTGCATACATTATTTGAGATATATATCGTACTTAGACGGCTAGTGACGGGCGTTCCACTTTGGTACCGCGTTCCACTTTTCGTCCCGAACGTCCCGATGGCCAGTCCGCCACTGGCTCTGTGTGTGTGTGTGTGTGTGTGTGTGTGTGTGTGTGTGTGTGTGTGTGTGTGTGTGTGTGTGTGTGTGTGTGTGTGTGTGTGTGTGTGTGTGTTTCCCTATAAAACAGTACTCTGAGAGTCACGGACATTAATTCATAGATCAAAGCAGACTGGTTTACAGACTCGCCAGTGTTTTGCCAATCCGGTGCTGAAACCAATAGCTCTACACCCCTGGCCGAAATGTCCATAAAATTAAGTCTGACTTCAAAATATATCTCAAATAATGTATGCACTGTCATTTCCCCACGTAAACATAACAGTCTGCAATGAAATGGGTTGTCTCGTGTTCCACTTCCTCCTTGGTGCATCGGTAACTTTCTAAAAAAAAAATAAAGTCAGGAAAACGGATTTGTTTCTGCACGAGAAACAAATCCGTTTTCCTGACTTTATTTTTTTTCTCTCTTTTTTTTTTTTTTTTTTCCATGTCCCTTTAGGGGCTCCGTAGATCCACGAGCAAACCGTTAGGATATTAGATGAGTGATTAACTGTGAAGTCTTCAAAGCTACTTACCCTACAACATAGAGCTGCCTCTGCAGAACCAAGAGAGCACAGAACAGTTAGGAGAGACCAACAGTGCTTCACTCTATCAGAAACATGTGAACTGGGGATGGGAGCCGGTGTGCAAAGAGTCACAGCTGTAACACGGCTACAGAGTGTGCATCAGCAGAGACCCCCCCATCCCCCAAAACAAATGGCTGCGGTGCCGAGCCAGCTAATGCTTTACTGTGGAGCCATATCAACACTATTAAAGAAGGCACACCATTATTTTTCCACAAAGTGCTCTGGGACATGAATCAGGCCTGTGGCCAATGCTAAATGGAGCTATGGACGAGCATGTTTAATGGACATGCATAACATCTCCACTATGAGGAGTTATTAAAGTGTCTGTCCTAATGCGTGTTTGAGTAAATCACTGTATCATAATAACAAATAATACTAAAATATTTTTATTTTGAGGCTGCTTTACCGACACTCAAGGACACCTTCAAATTAATTAAAATATTCTTAAAGGTTAAAAACAGCAAAACATGACGGAAACATGTGCAGGGTACAAAGTACACTAGGGCAGGGCAATTTGTGCTATGAGCATTGGCATAAAATGGTATGCATATGTGATCTTAAAGTAGGGGTTAATGGAGTTTACTACAGTTTAACACTCAGTCACATGAGTTGCAAATATGACGACTTGCAAACAATTAACCTGACACAGGTAAGGACTTTTTTCTTTTTCCATATAGGTTCTTTAAATGATATTCGGAGTATCAACTTTGTCCTGCTATGTGTACCAGGCTGTGGTCGTCTCACGCCTTCACTACTGTAACTCCCTCCTGGCTGGTCTACCTGCAAGTCTCATCCAACCTCTGCAGCTAATTCAGGATGCTGCAGACATGGTACTGGCCTACTGTGCTGTCATTGGATCAGACCCTTCCTACATCCAGGACATGGTTTAAACCAAACACTCCAGCAAGTGCACTTCACCATCAGCTTGTTACACCTTCACCGCGAGTGGGACCCTTCGAGTCTGGCTCCAAAATGGTGGAAAAAGAAGAAAACAATGCTGATAATGTGTTCACAGGTGTGCATCAACTCAGTGAGGAGGGGGCCAGCTGTTGTTGTTGTTGTTGTTGTGGTGGTGGTGGTGGTGGTGGTGGTGGTGGTGGTGGTGGTGGTGATGATGATGATGCCTGGCTCTATGGTGTTAGCGAGTCCTAAGAACCCTGTCAGCCCTTTGTAAACCATCTATAGCACCTGGTCTAAGGTGCATTCAGTGCCTGTCTATGGGATCCTTTGCAGCCACCACTGGACTCTTATTGTACTATTGTATAAGCATGAACATTGTATTGCTTCCTAATGCGACCCATGAGGGGATCGGATCAAAAGAGCCTAGAGAATCCTCCGGAAGAGTAACTATTCTGCACGGAGACATCAGCCAGAACACCGCCACTATTACACTCATGGAATGATCACGATACATTTTATTGAAAACCACATATGTGGGGGAAGTGTGTGACAGGTAGTGTGTCACACAGGAAGTGTGTGACACAGGAAGTGTGTGACACAGAAAGTGTGCTGCCTGTAACACAAGTCTGCGGCCCCCTCAGTTTTTTGATTTTCTGCTCGGTTTGAGCACTACAGAATTGTTTAGGCACATCTCCCTATTTGAATAATACGTTGGAAATTAGCAGGAAAATTCTGCACCATTGACTTTACATACAATTGTTGTTGGTCAGTGGCACCATAGCCGTATCTCATTTCTGGGATTTCCCCTCCTCGACTCCTCGAATCCTCGGTCCTCCGGTAGTGACCCGGAAATGAATTTCAGCGCGCCATGTTGAAGGACATCTCATTTCTCTAAATGCACATCGAGGATCGAGCATCGAGCGTCGAGGAGGCTCTCTGGAGGAGCTCTAACCGAGGATACACTGATGGGTCCTCCACGGGTCCTCCACGGGTCCTCCACGGCTCCTCCGTGGATGTATTTCCGGCAACAGAGATGTTTCAAAGAGTCGTGACCCACGGCCGGACTTATCATTCTCAGCCAATGACAGCTCTGCATGCATCCCCTGGATATTATTGTATTAACTGCTTTCATCGCAACGCCATGTTTCCAGAGAGAACAGCTGTGAGGTCCGTGCAGAAAGCAGAGCAGTGTGTATAATATATATCACTCAGTATAACAGGCCTACATTACTCTCTGTATTTGCTGTAGTTTAGTAGATATCTACAAACAAAGAGTCGATATTTTTCTAAGACCATTTAGTGCTTCACATAATAAAATACACAACGTCAACGACTGTATCCTATATGCTTTAGGAGCTGTAGGTGTGTGTGGTACAGTGTGTGTGTAGATGCAGCGGACAGACAGGTCTCAGTTGGTTTGGTGTCCTCTGCTTACTTTTAATACTTATAAATAAAACTTTTGGCCTGTAATTTATTTTCCTCATTGTAGCGACCAGAGGGGAGAGGGGGGGGGGGATATATCCAGTCTCTGATTGTGTTACGTTATGAGTGCTCTCATACTTGTTTGATTCTGAAATTGTATATATTTATATAAATATATTCATATATATGTGTGTGTATCCGCATCCGCATCTGTAGCCTGTTATTGTCTCATTATACCGCACTGTGAATGAATTAAAAGTAGGGCTGTCAGTCGATTTATTGGCATGAAAGTTAAATTAAACAATGTTGCCAAAGCATCACAATACAAAATAATTAACAACATTAACATACATTTCAAATGTTTACATATTATTGATGATATATATATACAGTGATACAATTACATTTCAACGTGTGTGTGTGTGTGTGTGTGTGTGTGTGTGTGTGTGTGTGTGTGTGTGTGTGTGTGTGTGTGTGTGTGTGTGTGTGTGTGTGTGTGTGTGTGTGTGTGTGTGTGTGTGTGTGTGTGTGTGTGTGTGTGTTGTGTGTGTGTGTGTGTGTGTGTGTGTGTGTGTCTCATTCACTGTCCCTCAGGTTGTGGCATGTGTATACATATTGGGCAGCAAGATGTGCCTTGTCTCCTTCTCCTAAAAGTACTCTCAGTCTTGAGAGGTCATCAACCTCCTTGAAACCTGGGATTACAGAGTTCAACTTGTTCCAGTAAACGCTCCTTGCTTCGTTGAATGTTTGGCACTTCAGGAGGAAGTGCATCTCTGTCTCAGTCTCACCTGTCGTACAGTGACCACATATTCTGTTCTCTTTTGGTTGCCAGGATCTTTTGAGTCTTCCTGTTTCGATTGCCAGTCTGTGGTCACTGAGCCTGTTACTTGGTTAGGATCTGTCTCTGCTTTCTATCTCTGACAGTAGAGAGATATTCTGCCAGCTCATACTCTCTGTTTAGAGCCAGGTAACATTCTAATCTACTTTGGCTTTTAGTTTCTTCTTTCCAATGTTGTAAATAGTTGTCTTTGCATTGTGTTATAATGCGTTTGACTGTGATTGGTGTTTGGAGAGCAGTGTTGTTGAGAGACTGGTCAGAGTGGCTCTGAGAGGGGGCAGCTAGCCTCAGCACCAGCTGACATAGGGGACTCTTCTCTGGGGTTAGCTCTTGGCTTTGGAGTGGAGGGTGTCTCGGGGGCTGGATCTAAGGTGGTTAAAGAATGTTAGTGCTCTCTTTTGAGTGTTAATGATCAGTGGGTCTCTCTCCCTCTCTCTCTCTCTCCCTCTCTCTCTCTCTCTTTTGAGTATTAATGATCAGTGGGTCTCTGCCTCATTCTGCTCTACATGCATTTGTTGGTGTTTTTCTCTGAACACGTAAAATGTATCTGCAGAATTCTGCATGTAAAGACTCTGTTGGATGTTTGTCCCAGCGGGTATAGCTCTGGTGACTGAGTGGACCCCATACTTCACTACCGTACAGCGCAATGGGCTGGATCACACTATCAAAGATTTTGAGCCAGATTTTAATTGGAATTTGGACATTATAAAATGTTCTCTTGATTGCATTTAGAACTCTTCTGGCTTTTTCTTTGAGTGCATTCACTGCCATGTTGAAACTTCCCGATGCTGTTATGGTTAAACCGAGGTAGGTATAACTCATACTATGTTCGATGATATGATTGTTTATGGTAAACTGGTATTTGTTCTCCTGACATCTGGGGAGTTTTTGGAAAACCATGACATTAGTTTTTTTCATATTGACTGCCAGGGCCCAGTTCTTACAGTACTGGTCTACTATGTCCAGCTGTTGTTGTAGTCCTTGTTCAGTAGCAGACAGCAGAACAAGGTCATCAGCATAAAGCAGACACTTCACCTCTCTATCTAGGAGGGAGAGGCCAGGAGCAGCACAGTGATCCAACTGAACAGCAAGTTCATTTATATATATATATTAAATAAAGTGGGACTTAAATTGCAACCCTGACGAACGCCTCTTCTCTGGGTGAATAATTCAGTTTGTTTGTCTCCAATTTTAACAGCACACTTATTCCCTAAATACATTGATTTAACCAGATCGTACATTTTGCCCCCTATACCACAATGTAGAAGTCTATAATAGAGCCCTTCGTGCCAAATAGAGTCGAAAGCTTTTTTGAAATCAATGAAACAAGTGAATATCTTACCATGTTGTGTTTGGTGTACATGTTTGTTAACTAAAGTGTGAAGGGTATACACATGGTCGGTGGTGCGGTGTTTTGGAAGGAAGCTAATTTGATTTTTACTCAAGATGGATTGTTGGTTAAGGAAATCTTGTATTCTTTTATTTAGAATGCTACAGAATAATTTCCCCAGACAGCTGCTGACACAGATGCCACGGTAGTTCTTAGGGTCTGATTGTCTCCACTCTTATGAATGGGGGAAATGAGCCCTTTGCACCAGATGTCAGGAAAACATCCTGACTGCAATACGATATTGAACAGCTTGAACACTGTACCTGCATCTCTGGGGTGCTGCATCTGAGCATTTCGTTTTTAATGTTGTCTGGGCCACAAGCTTTCCTTGGCCGGAGAGATTGTGTCTGTGTGGTCAACTCTTCCCAAGTCATTGGGAAATCAAGAGGGTTTTGGTTGTCTTTAATAGTTTCTTCTAATGTGTTGTTCCACAGATCCCAGAATTGATTTTGATCAATGGCTTTCTCAATATCTTCAAGTTTCATGTGGGTATAATTTAGTTTTTTGTTCCTTATTGTACATTTATATTTGTTTAAAACGTCATTGTATCTAATGCGTAAGGCTGGGTTGTTTGGTTGCCGATGTTTTTCATTTGCTATTTTTCTCAGGTCTTTTCTGATGGTCTTGCTTTCTTGGTCAAACCATTTGTCAGCGTTTTGCCTTTTAACAGGCTTCCGCTTTTGTTTGATTAGGTCAGTTTTAATAGCTGCCTTGTGAAATATCATATTGACAATGGCCATGTTTACACCATCTTTGGTAGGAACATATTGATTTTGGTCAAATAGTGACATGTCATTCATCAGATCAGGTGAGTTCAAGGCCATGGTAAATTTGTCTCCACTGTCTGGGGCCCATCTGTAAGTAGGATTTAATGTATACAGCTTACTGGGTTCCCTTGTTGTGTCACTCATTGGACCTGAGAGTTTAAAGAACACATTCATTCATTGATTGATTGATTGATTGATTGATTGATTGAGTCTCTCTCTCTCTCTCTCTCCCCTCTCTCTCTCCTCTCTCCCCCCTCCCCTCTCTCTCTCTCCCTCTCTCTCTCGTCGGCGAAATGCCGCTCCTCTGTCTTCATCTTCAGTCAAAGCATGAGACTGAAGTCCCCACTGTGGGTCAAAATAATGCACTGTGATGTGCAGTCGACACGTTGGATGCGATCCGAATTATCTAACACAGCCCCTCGTCCTCCACAATGTTAAGCTGTAGCCCCCCATTTAGCTATCGCTGTTGCTGTCCAGGCGTCTCCCCGGCAAACTTTCAAGCGTGGTCTGCCGCAAGTGAGCGGCAGGAGCGGGGCTGTTAGCATCAGCTGTGTGCTTGGCTTGCTGTTTAAAACGCCTTTTTTTTATCCATATCTCTCGCTAGAATCTCCCACCATCCAACTAACAACAACAACAACAACGTCAAGCCTTTGGGCTCTGAAACTACGGGGCGGGCCGAGGACAAATACACATGCGTTAATCGCATGTTAAAACAATTAGTGGCGTTAAAAAAAGATGGCGTTATTAACGCGTTAACTTGACAGCCAACAAAACAAAAAAATATATATATATGAAATGAATATAATTCAGGCCATGTGTCTATGCACGAATGCAGCTTTTATTGTAATTAACACAACAGGCCTCAAACGATTACCTCTTTTAAGCTTTTCCTCTTTTATAGGCTACAAAGGACCAAGGAGGTCATGATGAAACTAAGATTCACTTTAAATAGAAAACGTCTGGTTTCCCTTCATTATGTGGACAATGAATAAAATGTTATGTAGTGCTGGTAACTCCCATACTCAGGGCCGCCCCTGGACAACTTAGGGCCCCAAGCGACATTGTGAGATGAGGCCCCCCCCCCCAACCGACAGGAGTGAACACATTTTTTTTGGAAACAAAGTAGGCTACTTTGCAAATATAATTCCTGTTTATCATTATTATTATCAACACAGTTACTTTTGTATACAGTGAGGTAAATGGTAAATGTGCATGTATGTCGTTCAGTATGCGTTTACAGGTGAATACGTCTGCATTTCCTGCCAAATACTAGCCTCAAAAAGATTAAAATATAATTATGGCAAATAAACTACTTCTACTAATAATAATAATAATAATAATAATCAATTCAATAATATAAATACCATATTATTTTATTATAATATAGTTGTAATATAGTCAAGACAAAACATGCTTATGACATGCTCAAAAACTGATATTTCTTAAATCTGTGTTCAAATGTAGTTCCCTCTGTCAGCAATGTATCAACAACTACACACACATTTCTATCAGTATTTCTCTGTGTTGTGGTTGACATGATGATGGCTGTTAGGAGTTAAGGGGAGAGGCTGAGCATCACCATGAAATGTGGAAATTGACATAAAAATGAATAAAAGTGGGAAAAATGCTCCATGTTTTTTAAGCTGTAAACTTTAACTGTTATGTAAGCCAACTAGACAGACAGTGTATCACGCTTCCTCCTGTACATCAGCAGATAAAAGGCACAACATACTTGAATGAATGTTAAATAAAGAATGCTGGAAATAACTGCATCTCCATTAGCCTGTATGCTATGCAGAGACTGCCTTCTTCATGTCGTGAATTGCAGCTGATGTTTTAATATGGCAATTGGCAAAAGTTTGACATTTCACTTATACAACATTCGCAAGTTGTACATTTGACTCATACAATAACCCACCTTCGAGTGATGCTCTAGTTTCTTCATGTTTTGTTTTTTCCCCTCTTGCTTGCGCCGGACTGAAACTGTCTTTTCACCGACATCTCTTCACCTGCACTAGTGGCCGTATCAAAGCCGTGATTGGTCAGATGTCGATTCATTGCAACGGTGTCGGGTTACAGACGTGATCCCCTTGTCACCTCTCACTCTCACGTGTCAGCGGGGGGTGCGCGGAGAACTGCGCACAGCAGCTGAGGCCCTCTGGGCGGGGCCCCTTGCGCAAGGCGGGCCCCCATGCAGCTTGCGTGATTGGCCTGTAGGGAGGGGCGGCCCTGCCCATACTAAATAAAGTATCCACTGCAAGATGGCACACAGTTCTGCAGTTAAAATATACGAATGGACTTTATGTCATTCTAAAAATGGGGAGGCTGCAATTGTCTAATGGTGCCATATTTCTCTTTTATCTGTAATTGATGTATTGTGTGCTGTTAACTGTTGTTGAGTGACTGAGATTTGCTGTCAGGTTTTTACCTTTTTCTTGAGGGCCTCCAGGGATTCGAACTCCAGGCGGGACAGCTTGATCTGGATGTGTTTGGGGACGTCTGGGATGATGAAGGACAGGATGAACTTGAAGGCCAACAGCCCGTGCTAGAACCAGAAAAACAGAAACTCAGTTCTATACTTCTATATCAGTATTTACAAAGCTGGCCTGGTGTACCCAAGGACACATCTTAACACGCAGCAGTCTTTTTAGTTACAAAAGATTCATTTTAAACCTCCCAAACTCCAATGTATTTCAATGAATGAGCCTAAAGCTTCTCACACGCATGTACAGCTGTTGGCAATGCAGAGTCATGCCAGACTGAGAGACACTACACGTTGTAATTATAAAAACTAAAAAGATTAATTATTACTTTATAACATGAGGTGAAAGCAATCTTAAATACATGTTTATTAGAGGTTAAAAAGGTTTGCGCATATCACAAAAACACATTGTATGTGATATGCTAGGTTTATGAACATTAAAGCATGGAAACATGTCACAGTAGAGGCACAAAATACAAATATGAACCCCAACGTTTGAATAATAGGAGCCTTTAACTGAGAGTTCTTTGCAATAGAATGCAGTTCTGTTAAACAGCACAAATCAATATGTTAATTTAAACAATGGATCTAATTACTGCGTGTTTATCTCAAAGAAGCTACTCATAATGAAGACTGCTATCAGGATACTGGATACACAAACGACAATAAACATGTATATATCACTGACGAATAATACAATTAGAAGTTCCACTAAATGGGGAGAAATGTGGGGTCAAAAATATATCCTTTAAAATATATGTGGGAGTCAAGACTTATTATCACAGCTCCCACTTAGACCAGGAGAAAGTCCTCTCCAGCAGCGGGCTGGCTGGTTGCCTGGTTACTGCTCACTGATGTGTGTAAACCCCATTATGTAATTACCCAGATATCATCGCTCCACTGCTGGAAAGCCAAAAGGTGCTGCCCCCCCACCCCCCTCTGCAGGGTTGGGGAGTAATGGATTACATGTAACTGGATTATGTAATCTTGTAATTTTTTTCCTTTACAGTTACATAAAAAAAACATTTTCATTCATTATTTTCTCCTGTATTTATGTGCATTGAATTTAAAATGTAACATGTTGATACTCAGATTAGGTTACTGATTACATTTAACAGGTAAGTAGTAATTATTACAGTTACCCTCCGGACCCCCTACCTCCATGTCCAACCCCATAAATGACTGAGATAAAGAACAAACAATGTATATAAACTAGCTGGCTGTAGATAGAACATGTCCCTTATGGCAATATATTGGATGTTGTGTCAATAATGCACATCTGTGTGTGGCTCTCCCGTGGAACAGTAAACATTATACAGCCTGCCTCTCATTACTTCTGTTTTCCACTCTCTTTAATAGCCTGCTCGCTCGATCTCAGGGAACGTTCTGGATGCTAACAGGAGGAACGTGCTCTGATGTACAATCAGCGTTTCTCTCCCTCTCACATCCATCTTCCTCTCCTCCTCATTGCTTCCCGCCCCTACTGTTTCTCCATCCGCCATCATTTCCTTTGCTCTCTCTTTTTTCACTCCTCCTATCTCCACTCTGACCTGACTCTGTCACAGGCCTGAGCTCTTGACTATAGAAACACACCTGTGTGCATGGACAGGATGGATGGCTGACAGAGAAAAGACAGAGTAAAGGCCAAACAGGAAACATCACCTAAACATGCTTTATAAAGTCATGTTCGGGGGATGTAGTATGAGAGGTAGCATGCTAACCGTTAGCACAAGAGTTCCTAGCATCTCCTTGGCTGGGATTAAAATCAACAAGAAATCACAAAGCTCTGCAAGCGCCTCTTCTTTAGTAATTTCCAGGTTCATATTTGTACTATGTTCCTCTCCTGTGACATGTCTCCATGCTCTAATATTTAAAAAACTCTTTATTCTTCTCATAGTGCCTGTACTGCAACACCTCTTTTCACCCTCTGTCTGAAACTAGAGCCCAGTCTGCTCTGATTGGTTAGCTGGCCGGCTCTGTTGTGATTGGTCAACCGCTTAGGGGTGTCCCTCCCCTTAGCTTATCATGTACAATGTGTTGGAGCGCTAGCCAATAGATGCACGAGTGTTACATAGTGATGTTACGGAACTAAACAAAGGAGTCCAATGGAGGCGTTTCAGGCAAGGGAGTGTGTGGGAGAGAAAGTCCCTCTGAAGGAACACAGGGATTGTAGCCTTTGCAGACCATTTACATGCACACGATCCTATAGAACACACTACAGGAAAGGGAAAAGCCCCAAAGAGCCCTGGATCAGAGGTTAGCATGTCAAAAAGTATAGTGAAGAAGATCACCTGCTTTATTTAGCTAATATTATATTCCATCTGTCTTTTTGACCAATGTTTCTGTATAAATGCAAATTGGCAGTGAGACGCGTGGTCACCGGACTCTTCTCTAGCACCACCATGAGCTTTACGTTAGTGGATGTGAAGGAAATGTATGGACACATAGTGGATGGACTTCATAAAGTATGATAGAGTCAGACACTCTTATACAGTAAACTATCATTACTACAGTAGGAACAGAAAAACAAATGAGGGTATCTCTCACCAATGAAAGGTTTAATTAAACATAATGGTATCCGCAAAGATGCTGGAGGGGAAGAAGTACTCACAGTGAAACACTCCTGCATACACAGTGGAGATTATCTCAGCTATGTGTGCAGACTACACACTCAATCCAACCTTCAGATGATCAATATGACCCAGTTTCTGCCTCCGTACACTGAGGTACAGTATGACTTTATTTTAGTTATTGTCTGAGACAATAACCAGATGGTTGGAAGGATCCTCCCTCAGGAGCTTATAAGTTCTCTCTGAAGGACTGCAGGAAGGTTCAGATGTGTAGAAAAAAGTACGTCAATTGGTCAGACAGTCAGTAGGCTGTTTTGTGCGGGGGCATAGTGCTGCAGCAAAACTGTGATGTAACTTGGGCCAAAGTTATCAAAAATAAGTCATTGACATAAATTCTGTTACTGAAACAAACACCAATAATATAATAGTATATTGTGTTTTTATTGTGCTTTATGAAAGTGAGATCTTAATCCGATATAAGAACTTTGGGACAGTTTTCAAGATGTGCACAAGATGGACTTCTGGTTCAAGTGAAATATCAAATAAGAGAATTGGGATGCACCCTCGTCAGTGCATTGGGGGGGCTCTAGCTTGGACTCTGGCTCCACCTGGTGAGCAAAAATCAACTCACATAAAGCAGCGTGTTGGTGATATCTACAGTCTGTAGCTTCATGTTTTGTGGTTTTACAAACATGTGTTCTGCCTGACTGTGAAGGTGCAGACAGACCATCTTTTATTCACAGAACTGAGACAAAGGCTGCAGTGGAATAGTGAAAGAAATGACAAAGATGAATGTCCTCTGTTTTGGAACTTCAATTCATGGTTACTAATCCATGGATCTCTTTCCCATGACTTCCTGTGTTTCCAAAACTGCCTTAATCTCTGCCTAGGGACTATATGTACTGTAGTGATTGGTTACTGGACTTTGACACAAGACGAACCTGAGAAAATCAAACCAAAACTCCTCTTTCTCCCCGTAACTGTCTGTCTCTGTCTGTCTCTGACTCAAACGTTACTTGTCAAAGCTATTTGGACCACAAACTGAAATTAAAATGTTTTCCCGTTGCTACAAATTCTGCATTCACACAAACAATCTGTAAATCAGTATTAGATCGGGGGGGGGGTTGTATTTGTGTGTGAGTGTGTACATGAATTACCTCAATAGCCACCGTCCACAGTATGAGCTGCGTCTCTGACTCGGGGAAGTAAGCCTTGACTTGTGGAGACATGCCGATCAGAGAGCAGTTGGTCACCACGGCGATCACGCTCATAGCCTCAAAGGCTAGCTACACACACACACACACACACACACACACACACACACACACACACACACACACACACACACACACACACACACACACACACACACACACACACACACACACACACACACACACCACACACACACACACACACACACACACACACACACACACACACACACCACACACACACACACACACACACACACACACACACACACACACACACACACACACACACACAACACACACACACACACACACACACACACACACACACACACACAGGGAACCAGACAGGGACACACACAGGGAAACAGACAGGGACACACACAGGGAAACAGACAGGGACACACACAGGGACACACACATGGAAACAGACAGGGACACACACATGGAAACAAACAGGGACACACACAGGGACACACACATGGAAACAGACAGGGACACACACAGGGAAACAGACAGGGACACACACAGGGACACACACATGGAAACAGACAGGGACACACACATGGAAACAGACAGGGACACACACAGGGAAACAGACAGGGACACACACATGGAAACAAACAGGGACACACACAGGGACACACACATGGAAACAGACAGGGACACACACATGGACAACACCACATGGAAAACAGAACAGGGTACACACACAGGGAAACAAACAGGGACACACACAGGGACACACACAGGGACACACACATGGAAACAGACAGGGACACACACAGAGACACAATAACAGTCAGTAACTTCTTTCAACATTTTACAATTTGAAGATACAACCTGTGCGATGGTAGCGTTATGTCCACTGTATTCATCTACAATTAACATTTTGATATTGTTTTATATTACAAATGGGATGAAGTTTGTCATGGGAAATGTTACTCTATTGTTCTTCTTCAGAACAATTAGACAATGAATGTATTGTGATATAATAACCAATACGGTGAAATAAAATGACATGATTTGGCCATATCGCCTACCCCTAATCCCGTGGGCCGCATTGTTTATACAGCTACTTGCAAAAAGCTGGAGAGAACATTTTCTTTTGACTGCAGGGAACATATTCATAAGTTATTAGCTATTTGCTACAGCCCAATACTGTGACAGGGAATTCATAACGTTTCTAATGAACGATGGAGTTGATACAGGGAGTTGCTCTCTTAAAGACAGAGGAACTGAAGGCTACTGATGCATTCTCAAATGAAGCATGCGATGTGCTTTAAAGCGTAATTTAATAAACTCATTTCTGGAATTTGAAATTAGCGTGTTCTGTTTTCAACAACAAAGTTAACTGCATAACTTTGTTGCCCCAAACACTGCTCACATCACATGTCAGACAGAGGTGAACCACAGCAACAACAGTTAGTGTGTTAGTAGTTGCTCTAAGGCTGTTCCATCAGATTTGAACCCGTGGTCTGTAACCTCCGCTCAAAATAATCTGACCTAGTAGTTCCCAGAGAAACTAGCTTCGTCTCACCTGCCAGACTCCGATGTTGGCTGCCGGCTCAGAGAAGGGCCGTTTGAACACGCGGCACATCTTGAAGGCATCAGAGTACACCTCTGTGATGTTGTTCAGCACCACCAGCACAGCAGCCAGAGGGTAGACGCAGGAGAACAGACTGACGTATCCAAACAGCAGGAACAGCTCCAGGTAGTCGTCGAAGGTGCCCTAAAGGAGAGGGAAGCACACACAGGTTAGAGGACTCTGAAGTACAATAAGCTGACAGAGAAATGGACCAGATCTCCTACCAAGTAGGTGCTCATGTCGGCCTCCAGCCGGACCTGCTCAGCCAGAGGCAGCTCTGCCTCAGCCACGGCTTTTCTCTTCTGGACCTTACGCATCATCTTCTTGTTGCGTCTCCTCTGGAGCCAGTAGGGCAGGAAGGCCTCCATGATCTGATTCAGGATCTGACTGGTGATCAACAATGTGGCCAGACTCTGCACACATAGAGAGCAGGGGGTTCAGGGGGAAAAAAATATTCAATTAAAGTAGGTGAGGACGAAGAAGGTAGAAAGTAACAATGGGTTAATCCCAATGACCCTCCTTGACTCCTCTATCCTTGACCCGGATATCGATCAACACACTTCATGTTGAAGAACATCTTAATACCTTAAAGGTGGGGTAGGTAAGTTTGAGAAACCGGCTCGAGATACACTTTTTGTTATATTCCATGGAATGCTCTTAACATCCCGATAGCAATGAATATCTGAAGTGCTTTGACAACAAATCCATAAAAAATTGTTATCTGTGGAAGCCGTAGCGCTGTAAAAAGCACGACCAATCATCTGAGCCGGCCCGGCTAAAATAACTGGATGGCCTACCTGCCTGTCAGCCTTCCATCTGTGCACAAACTTATCTCGTGCCCTCATTGGTCATGTGCGCGTTCGTGTGTGTTGGAGGAGGGGCTCTGTAAGGAAGTGGCAGATTTTTTTTCCGGTTGTGTATTTTCAAATTCTAGCGCACTCGAGCTGGTTTCTCCAAAATTACCTACCCCACCTTTAAATGCAGAAAAAGGAGTCAAGGAGAGAGGCTCTGGGAAGTGTTATCGCTATACCCGTATCAATGCTCAATCATAACCAATCATTGAGAGTCCCTTATCCAGTTGATTGGTAAAGGAGATATATTAATATATGGCTAATAAGTCTTTTATATTTTGGTCAAATGTGTTTTCTGTGGAAGAAATTATATTACAGCATCCAATACAGTGCATATCAAACCCAAAAATCAAGCTGTAATAAGATAATTACAGATCTATTAAACAAACAATTATTAGTTGAATATGTTTGTCTTATTATGTAAAGACTTAAGAGCCTGTGTTGAACAGAGTTGAAAGGGGAAGACAAGATTGGAGACAAGATTGGATGAACCGGGAGGAATGCTAGCGAGGTTGATTAAAAAATAATGAAGGAAGGAGTAAAGAAGTTCTTAAGAATAAAACAAGCTGAAAGAATAAAAGGGATTTGGCTTACCTGCCTGAGCAGCGCCATGTCTTGCATCGCGAAGGCGATGTAGAAGAGCGAGGCGAAGCAGTTGAAGAAGTTGAACTACGGGGGAAAAGAGTGAGGAGATGAGAAGCTGCACTTTGATCAGTGAAAGAGCAAACAGGCAACGTTTGTATTTGAATATACTCACTACTAATACTTTGAGGATCAACTGATTCTGATAGGAAGACTCCAGCCTGTGGTTCTCTATCCAGAGGAGTAGAAACATCATCAAAATGTTTCCTTATGTGAAGTTTATGAATGTGTTACCATCACCATAAAAAGGTCCCACATTCTTATTGCAACTGTAGCAAATTATCATGATACTTGTCGTAATGCAAGTCAATGTGAAAAAACGTGTCTGTTAAACCAATGAAACATAAATATATTTGTATATATATATATATATATATCACGTACAATGTGTAGGAGCGCTAGCCAATAGAAAAGCAAGTGTGATGTAGTGATGTCGCTATGTTACAGAAAAAAGGAGTCATATATATATATATATTAAATGTGAGTCTAAAGCCTCACTCAGCTTTTAAGAAGGTGGGGTTATCAAATATCAGAATATACGTATGTTGATTGACCTTCTGCTAAAAAAAGATCACCGGGATAAATACAGCACTACTGTAGAAATGGATGTTCCAATGACTCTACTCACCCCACTCAGTGAGGAACTCAGCAGCATATCTGTAGACCAGGTTCATGATCTCTATGACGACAGCATAGATAATACTGGGGATGAACAGCAGGACCCTCGTCCAGAAGGTGGGCTCCTCGTCGTGGACGGACAGCGCCCAGCCCTCCATCAGGAAGTAGATCATCATGACGTAGAGCGACAGGTAGAGGCAGAGCAGCACGAAGGGCAGCGACACCAGGTAGACGCACAGCTGCCTCTTGGTGTTGGAGTAGAGGGGCTCCTCGCGGCCCGTCACCGGGTTGAAGCCCAGCACGCCGTGGAACCCGGGCCGCGGCTCTTCAAAGGCCTTCTTCCGGCTCAGCGTGCCCCAGCTGTAGGCTAGAGACGTGCTGAAGCGCTTCCATAACTGAAGGAGGAGAGGGGCACTCAGCTCTCAGCTTTCATCTAGACTATAGTGAGTTTACTCATTTCATTCTTCTGACTGCACTAGTGTAGGCAGCTGCCGTCTGATATCAAGGATATGGAGTAAATACTCAAATGGCTTACCATACACTTCTACCAGCCTTGATGAACACATTATTGCATTACCAAAGATAATCCAGTGATTTAATCAAATGATTCTAAAATGGGACATTAGCCACTATATGTGCTTTTACGTACCTAAAAAGAGCATATAGAGTTTGTTGTAAAAGGATCAGATGTTATCTCTTCTCTGTCAGCTGTTCTGTAGGCTAATACTTTAAGTGTGAATCTATACGCCTACTGCCTGAATCTGATTTTAATTCAGTAGGTGGACCTATACTATACAGTGGGGCAAAAAAGTATTTAGTCAGCCACCAATTGTGCAAGTTCTCCCACTTAAAAAGATGAGAGAGGCCTGTCATTTTCATCCTAGGTACACTTCAACTATGAGAGACAGAATGGGGGGAAAGAATCCAGGAAATCACATTGTAGGATTTTTAATGAATTAATTGGTAAATTCCTCGGTAAAATAAGTATTTGGTCACCACAAACAAACAAGATTTCTGGCTCTCACCAGTGGCAATCCGTCAGTGCCCTCTAGGCCCTCTGCGAGGGCCTAAGATATTCTAAAAAATAATATTTGAAAACATTAAAAAAAAAACATTTTCTTTTAAATATTATTTTTTATATTTTGTTGTTGTTACTTTTTTCATTAGTTTTACCAAAATAACTTGATTTAAATGTATTTAAAATAACATTTCCAAATAAATAAATCCTTCGAATCTGCCTGTTCAGTTTCTGTTGGAATGTGAAGGGTTAAATGCCGTCTCTGCGAGTTACTGTGAAGAAGGGAGGGCTTGTTGGTCCCTCTCTACATTCACTTATACCTCATTCACACCAACGGTGTTTCAGGGCCGGTTCGGAGCTGGAGCTTGAAAAGCACCGGGTTTTCATGTTCACACCGCAGTGGAGCAGCCTCTTAGCTCCGGAATCCGGTTCGTTTCAAGCACCAAAAAAATTGTCCGGCCAGAGCAAAAGCACCACATACGTCACGCTTACGTCGAGGCGGGGGCGGGATAAACTCCTGAACGACAACAAGAAGCCCGCGTTTTATCCAGCTTGTACACAACGATGGAGAAACTTAACAAGCAGCAGTGGTCCACTGAAGAGACCTACTACTTACTGGGAGTCTGGTCTTCCGAAGAGGTACAGAGGAAGATGGAGCATTGTTGTTGTTATCGGTGTCAGCTGTGAGGGGTTTCCGCGCGGTTTGGCTTTATGAAGCAGGCACGCAAACGGGTACGTCATGGCGCAAACGATGACGCAATGACGCAGCACCAGTCGGACTCTGGGCAGTGTGAAAAGAGCCGGAGCTAAACCGAAGAACCGGTTCTGAACCTGAAAAGCTCTAGCACAGAGCTTGAACCGGAGTTCCGTTGGTGTGAATGAGGTAGGAGAGCCAGCTATAGTAACTCAACGAGAGAGTAATGTCAAATGACAGTACAATTGACCAATGAGAATCTTCCCTCTAAATGGGCGGGCTTTATTTTCGCAGACTTTATGACAAGTTCCGCCCGCTGTGAGGTCTATGCAAGTGGTGCAGTGACACGTCCTAAAACCCGGAAGTAAGCTTCGCTCGGATTCCCTCGACAGAAAGCAATGGGATTTCTCCATAGGATTTTGGAAAATAGCTTGAAATAAGGTCTGTGGAAAACAAACCTGTTAGATAAATGCACGTTTTGTTCAGCCGGATAATATCCACATGTCTACCCTACTTTTATCATTTTCTAATCATAAATCTAATCGATAGATTTATGATCGATAGATTTATGATCGATAGATTTATAATTAGCATAAGTTCGTTCATGATGGCTCACTTCAGTGATAGTGATGACATCTTTGCGAAATTATTAACCGAATCATTTTCAAGATTGAGGTACAATGATAAACTGGAGTGGCAAAGGATCAGCTGAATGACCTGCAAGTGCTTCATCCAAAAGGACAGGAGGATGGACTTTGTGTTTCAGTGATTTGATCATCAAAGGTAGGCCTAAGTCATTTTCAATGCGGGCCGCTGTGCCGACTTAATTCATTTGTAATTGTTACTTGGCTGTGGGAGCCCTGTCATGATAGGTGTTTATATAAATCATGTTGTTTTGTGTGGTAGAGGGTCGCTGTCATTGATGCGTTTTGCACCCCAGGCCGCTGTTTTGATATTCCGCTGAAGTATATGCTGTGACGTAATATCTCTTCTTTTTTTTCGAGGGAAGGGGGGGGGGGGTCAGAGGGCCTAGGTATAAAAGTCACGGCTCGCCACTGGCTCTCACAGACCTGTAACTTCTTCTTTAAGAGCCTCCTCTGTCCTCCACTTGTTAACTGTATTAATGACACCTGTTTGAACTCGTTATCAGTATAAAAGACACCTGTCCACAACCTCAAACAGTCACACTCCAAACTCCACTATGGCCAAGACCAAAGAGCTGTCAAAGGACACCAGAAACAAAATTGTAGACCTGCACCAGGCTGGGAAGACTGAATCTGCAATAGGTAAGCAGCTTGGTGTGAAGAACTCAACTGTGGGAGCAATTATTAGAAAATGGAAGACATACAAGACCACTGATAATCTCCCTCGATCTGGGGCTCCACGCAAGATCTCACCCCGTGGGGTCAAAATGATCACAAGAACGGTGAGCAAAAATCCCAGAACCACACGGGGGGACCTAGTCAATGACCTGCAGAGAGCTGGGACCAAAGTAACAAAGGCTACCATCAGTAACACACTACGCCGCCAGGGACTCAAATCCTGCAGTGCCAGACGTGTCCCCCTGCTTAAGCCAGTACATGTCCAGGCCCGTCTGAAGTTTGATAGAGAGCATTTAGATGATCCAGAAGAGGATTGGGAGAATGTCATATGGTCAGATGAAACCAAAATAGAACTTTTTGGTAAAAACTCAACTAGACGTGTTTCGAGGAGAAAGAATGCTGAGTTGCATCCAAAGAACACCATACCTACTGTGAAACATGGGGGTGGAAACATCATGCTTTGGGGCTGTTTTTCTGCAAAGGGACCAGGACGACTGATCCGTGTAAAGGAAAGAATGAATGGGGCCATGTATCGTGAGATTTTGAGTGACAACCTCCTTCCATCAGCAAGGGCATTGAAGATGAAATGTGGCTGGGTCTTTCAGCATGACAATGATCCCAAACACACCGCCCGGGCAACGAAGGAGTGGCTTCGTAAGAAGCATTTCAAGGTCCTGGAGTGGCCTAGCCAGTCTCCAGATCTCAACCCCATAGAAAATCTTTGGAGGGAGTTGAAAGTCTGTGTTGCCCAGCGACAGCCCCAAAACATCACTGCTCTAGAGGAGATCTGCATGGAGGAATGGGCCAAAATACCAACAACAGTGTGCGAAAACCTTGTGAAGACTTACAGAAAACGTTTGACCTCTGTCATTGCCAACAAAGGGTATATAACAAAGTATTGAGATGAACTTTTGTTATTGACCAAATACTTATTTTCCACCATAATTTGCAAATACATTCTTTAAAAATCAGACAATGTGATTTTCTGGATTTTTTTTCTTTCTCATTCTGTCTCTCATAGTTGAGGTGTACCTAGGATGAAAATGACAGGCCTCTCTCATCTTTTTAAGTGGGAGAACTTGCACAATTGGTGGCTGACTAAATACTTTTTTGCCCCACTGTATATACCACTTAAATAGTGTGTGAGCTTAACTGTGTGTATTAAACAAAGACTGACCATTTTCTGTCAGCTCAGATTTTATTTCTGCTTTTTTAAACTATAGTATGTGCTCATGTGTTTCATTGTTGGTGTACAGACTACTGCCTGGATAAGCTCAATGAATGGCAGGTTTTCCTATCAATAAAATCATTTCAAGGTCACATTGTTCCTTACAGGATACACAACATTTGTGAAGCATTTGTAAAGTAACCCTCCAAACCCTGCTTATAAATAGATTGAGTCACTGTCCGTACCTCCAGGATAACGGTGCACCAGACCAAGTTGAACACAGCAAAGACGACGTATTTGTCGTAGTTCTCCCAGTCAAACAGGTAGTAAGGCACGCCAATGAGAGCCATAGGCACCAGGGCGAAGGTGAAGTACTCCAGGAAGCCAAAGTAGAGCGCCTGACCCTCACCATAGTAGCGTCTGATGTCATCTGGGGAGAGAAAGAGGAAAAGTAGCAGGGAGGAAGGTTAATGCAAGAATAGAATATAGAATATATCTTTATTTGTCATCATACAAAGTACAACGACATTTCCTTGGCAACTCTCACTGCAGTAAAAAATAGACACAATAAATAAATAAGAGTGGTAAAAGCAGAGGGGATATAGAGAATATTAGAGGAAATACATATAAAGTGTAGAGAAATAAAAGAGAAATACAATGCATCTTGTACTTACCCAGAGGCTGGAAGGACAACTTGATCTTCTGATACCAGGAGTAAGACAGCCTCTTCAGTTCCTCTTTCTCGTGGAGTGGAAACACTTGGATCAGGACCCCCTTGGACAGCAGTCTGCGAACTGGGACACAAATGACAACATTTTTATGTGTATTATAGGCGCTTTCACACCGCAGTACTTTTCCCCCACTTTAGTTCTGAAATGTTGCGTTCACACCAAAAAAATGCTACAACATTTTTATGTGTATTATAGGCGCTTTCACACCGCAGTACTTTTCCCCCACTTTAGTTCTGAAATGTTGCGTTCACACCAAAAAAATGCTAGAAAGCCAGTCCCCAACTCCGGGGACTTCGGGCGGCAGTATACGCCGTGAAGTTGTTTGCGGCCTGCCAGTAAACCCAAAGCAGAAGAAGAAGAAGTGACGTCAGCGGCTTCATTTGCCTAACCCTCTCCCAGGGATTTATTCCGGTGTGAACGCGATCTGTACTTAGTTCATGAGGACTAAAGAGTTCTCATGAACTAAGTTCTGATGAACCTTTGTGGGAAAAGTACTGCGGTGTGAAAGCGCCTAATTATATTTTGTGTAAATATTGTCTTTATTTTAAAATGTGTTACAATTGTCTATAAAATAGTTTAAAGTAAAATGTTTTGCTCCTTTGAACAAATAAAAACGTTTTCCTTCCTCCATGTAAGCACTATTTACACCAAAGCAGATTTCTCGTATGGGTAAACCTACTTTACAGACTCTGAAACACCCTGCTAATAATTACTATGTTTTCTTAATGACAATGTTATGCAAATAATTCCCTTTAGTGCCAGCCAGTGTTGTAGTCAAGACCACCTTAACCGAGACCAAGTCATGACCAAGACTTTAAGAGGTTGCGACCAAGTCATCATTGAGTATTTACTGGGTTGAGAGGCAATACAAATGATGAGTATACGCCTCTGAAGTTCATTTCAAAGTTAATAAAGAAGTGCACACACTTTTCCATTGCTTAATTTTGTTCAATGCCATGTCTTGTTGTCAGTGGGGTTTGTTTACTGCCAGTATTTGATTGTTCTATACAAAAAACCATGGAAGGAATGAAGCATGGAAATGTTGTGTAGTGGTAGTTGGGGAAATCTTTAATTTCTCAAAGTTGGAAATATTTGGAAAACGTTACACTGACTTTTGAGTGACATGCCCTGCTGCATTCTATCCCTGACTCTGAACCCAGACACACACACATGCTGTGCACAGTGCATAACAACAGCAATCGTCTCTATTGTCTTTCACAGAGTGACTCGATACAAGAACATTCATTTAATGGACTGCATCATTAGTTACAAATGATTACATTCTGCTTTAACACATTTTGTCAAATAAAGGCCCTGAATAGAGTCAGCTTATCTCCCCTCCAACTTCATTGCTTCCTTATCTTATTTTTAGAGTATTTCACTAGATTTGCATATTTATTGCTTCCATACTGAGAGGGATAAAAAAAAAAAAACTTTATTTAAAATAATTGTCAACTTGTCAAAACTGTAATTCCATACAATACGGACAACATCAGAACAACCTAAGACACGTTTCTCTGTAAAAAAAAAAATCTATACATGTAAAAGGATTGTTATCCCCTGCAGCTGGACACAAAGCACCCTTTTATTTGAAAACCCTCCAGGCCCCCTTTTTCAAAAAAAAAAAAATCTAAAACCAATCCAAACTGTAGCTTTTACAAATGAGATAAAAGCAGGTCCTGCCCTTTACTCTGATTGTTCTGCAGCTGTAAATTGACAACGTGGCTTTCCCTGTTAAAAGTTTCACAGCTGTCACTTAGAGGCGTCACACTTCTTGTAGCCAAAGCCTAGAAGAAAAGCATCCTTTCAACACCAAACCGTTTGAGGACATTAAAAAGGAAATTAAAGGTCCCATGTCATGCTTTTCCGGTTATTACCCGTCCCCTTGTGTGTTATGAAGGTTTTTATGCATGTAAACGCTGTGCAGAGTCAAAACCCTTAAAGTACACCCTGTAGCGAGTAAAACTCTAACACAGAAAATACCTCCCCAAAACGCCTCGTTGGAGATACGTTATTGTCCATTGTTTACTTTCTGGGTATTGTGACGTAGGAATGGCCAGTAGCCGCGCCCAGAGCTATGACGCGATACGGTCATGCGTTATCCGGAACCAAATGGACTGGAACCGTTACGTTACGTCTGCGGAGCCGTTACGTTAAGCCCCCGCTGATTGGTCCAAATTGACCAATCCACGGACTTCCTCACACACTCAGTGCAGGCAGCTCTGCTGATCTCTCCTCCCTGGCTGCAGGCTGATAACAGACAGTTGGGATTGCGGCGAAATTCTCTCTGCAGACCCGTTCTCTCTGCAGACCCATTCTCACAGCGTTTATCAACCTTTTTCTTACTCAATATCAAGCCACACTTATTGTTTTTACTTCGGCTGTGACTTTGTGTGTGCTCAGGGTGAGTTTGGCTGTGTTTCGATGGTTTTCGATGTGTATCGCTAAACAAGGAAACAACACCTCCACGGAGCTCAGCGCGATTCACAACGTCCCGACCAATCAGAGCACACTGTGCACACAGGGAGGGTGGGGGCTGGAGCTACTGGAGCTACAACTAGCCGTTAAAGGCAGAGAGTGAAATTCAGTGAATACACGTAGTTTACAGAGATGCTGTATGAGGAACCAATGTGAGTTTGGAAAATTGCACAATATAAATCTATTCTAGTAGACCTCAACTATGGAATTATGATCAGTGGAAATGGCCATGACATGGGACCTTTAAGTCTCTTGCATTCCTAAAAAAAGTTAAATACAGTTTCTATTTTGTCAATGAAAGGGAAAGTATTTAAAACAGATGGATTAACAATAGAGATACAAGCATTCACAGTAGGGATGTGCATCTCCATCACTGAGGCCGATGCGATGCGCATCTCGATACGTTGCCACGATACGATACATTAACGATACATTTGAAACACCAGGCGATGCGATACGATACGATTCACCCCTGTTGCGATACAGTTCGATACGATTTGATTCAACATTATGCGATTCGGTGCGATACGATGCGATTCAACACGATGCAAAAATAATGATACTTCAATTTGGTACGACAGAGGATTTTTGTTTTATTCCTTATATGCAGCAAATCATACATTAACAAAAAAGTGCTTTACATATTTGGTACTGCACATCCCATCATGCCGTTTATTTTTTTACCTTTAAAAGCTCTCCAGAGTACAATTGTATAACACCTCACAGTTAAACAATGTAAGGATGCATTGCTCATGATTAACAATGTGCAAATAACAGCTACCATAGAGCAACGCCCATACAGCTGCTGCCTGATGTGCTTAACACTCATTCATAGGCTAACTCACCAGTGAGCAGAAAGCGGTGGGTTCTATATGAACAATAAATAATACAAATAACCTTTCACAAACAGGTATTTCATAACTGCTTACAGTGAGGAATACATTTAAATTATTATTGGCCGTCACAGGCTGCTGTAAACTAAACACCACTCTCTCTGACAGAACACCTCACTGAGTGATTTAACTCGTATGTCTAACTTTGAGGTTTCTCTTTTCAGCCGCAGACCCCATGTCGCCTCTTTATGTGCGTCGCTAAGTTCCTCGTACTACTTGTGTACTTTAAAGCGGCTCGGCATCGTTAACAATTTGCGAGCGATTTTTCAAGTTGACCGTCTGTAGTATATAGTGCCGCGCACATATACCATCAGGACGTTACTGATGGGGTGCGGCTGCGGAGTGATACTGTGTGTATGCAAGCCCGCATCTAGGACGGATCTATGTATCATGGCTGTAGACCTGTTAAGTAATAAAGATACCTCATACAAAAGTCTACGGATACCTTATTACTCTCCATGACCTGCGGTCAACTATATAGCCTAGCATAAAGGACTATTACACCGTCTTTCTTGAACAATCCGAAGTGTTACCAAACGTTTGATTTGTAGGTATTTTTCGGTGCGCTGTGTTTCTCTTTCTCCTCGACTTCCGTGTGTGTTGATAACTGAGACTCTCGGCCTCCGTAGTGGCGAAGCAAATATCAAAGATCGTCTCTGCTGAGCGTTGACAAGATGAGGGGATTTTATATGAATGAATCGGTTTTTTACCGATGCAAAGACGCTACGCCATCGATGCATCGCGAGTTCAACCCGGTTCAACCCAAACTGTAGCCGATGTGCACTCTTTCAACCGGTGCACTCGCATCTTGAACGTTTATGCCGGTGCACCGATGCGAATCGGTGAATCTTAACATCTCTAATTCACAGTAATAACGCCATGCTAAATTCTCCATTGTGAATCTCGTCCAAACTCCCCATTTCTTTAAGAAATCTGAAATCAAACCAAACTCTGGTTTTTAGGGAGATAAAAACAGGAAGTACTTCCTGCCCTGCCCTCCGTTTAGTTTTTTCTGCTGCTGTATGTTGACGGTCTGGCTTCCCCTTTTCCCAGTTCACCATTAGAGGTTGAGCTTTTAGAATATCAGCAAACTATGAGGCTGAGGGGAAGTCTTCAAAGGACCCTGACCCTCTAACAACCCAGAGATATTCAATAAAGAGAAATAGAACAATGTCCTCAAAGTTGAGAAGCTGGAACAGTGTTTATCCCTTTTGCTCTGTAAACTATTTAGATAATGTATTGATTATGACAATGGTTGACAATGAACTTACTGTCAGTAGAGTAACCGATAAGGATGACATCTCATATCATGGTATTTACAGACATATCTTCCCTGTGTGTGGTGATATCGTACCCTGTGTAACTCATTTGTGTATCCCAGTGAGTTAGACACCTGACAGAGAGAGACAGAGTGTAGGAGGACTCACTGATAGATTTCCCAGGGTACAGCTTGGCCTGAGGGTGTCCTGGGACATGAGTCTCATCTTTGGCCCGGAGTGTGTCCAGCTCATGTTTGATGATGTACTGACACTCAGCCATACTGAGGAAGGAGTCCCCGTCCCCTGGGGAGAGAGACACACACACACACACCATTTATTTTATTTGGCTCAAAAACAAAGCTCCACCACGTCATGTGATTATATTTCAGTTCACTTAAGACTATGACTATCAATGTTGTGCAATAAGTTCTTCTTTATGATTATTATTACTGGCTGCTCCTGCTCTTTTGCACATTTCATACTGTTACATAAATCTGTAAATAATTGTGCAATATATACTTACATCACTGTTATCAGGCTGCTATCACACTACGCTCTGCATGTTCCACTTCATTATTTATAACACTGCTACTGGTCTTTTCCTACCTTGAATGTGTACTAATTTGAATTGTATTTGTATTCTATGCGCATGCCTTTTTATTAAATGGTGATTTCTTTTTGGTCTCCATCTAGACAGGCTCTTCTTTTGCTGTCAGTGTGAATGTCCCCTCTGAGGGAAGAACAAAGCAATTCTGACACTAGCAACAATGTATACCAATTGATTGATACAGAGTGCTGCCATATTCTTTTTTGATTAATAACGTGTGCATACTTAGTTATTTTTTAATATGTTAGTCTATTGTCTTTTTCTGCACTATACTCCTGCCGTTGTAATAATGTACATTTCCCCGTTGCGGGACAACTATTCTGATGTCCTGCATAAATACCCACAAGCCCCCATGCAACCTCTTTACCTTCGAAGTGTTTGAAGTTGTGTTTGTTGGCGCAGGTGAAGCCTCTCATGGATCCATCACTGAACTCCTTGAAGAGGCCCACCTCCTCCGCCCCAGAGAGCAGCCTCTGCCACTTGGCCCCCACCAGGAACAGGTTGGGGTTCTCCTTCTCCGAACCCCCGTCTCCCAGGCCCAGCTGCTCCACCAGCAGCTCAATGCCTGGGACAGAGGACAGGCTCAGTAAACGCTACATGAATACAACGCCAAGAGTCTAAATATATTCAGTGCACACACCTCCATTCTGGTGAGGGTCTCTGATCCTGCTCAGCAGCCAGGCGATGGCCTCCTGCTTGGTGTCGGAGGCGAGCTCCAGCACCACCAGAGGAGTGAAGCTGGTGGAGCTGCAGTCTGCGGACACAGCCGGCACCATCTCCCCCGAGCCCAGGGCACCTCCAAAGAGGATTTAAAATAAAGTATTAAATAATTACAATGTATATGATATACTATCTTATTTTAACGTGCAAAATAACGTTTATAAAAGGTACAATGTTAAAGAGGTCTTATTGTGCTTTTTTAGGCTCTCCCTTTCCTGTAGTGTGTTCTATAGGATTGTGTGCATGTAAAGGGTCTGCAAAGGCTGAAACGCCTGTATCGCTTTGTTGCTTTTTGTATCTTCGTATGCAAATCATAAGCTACCTTACACAGCCAGCTTAATGGGAGCTTAATGATGCTGTTTGGACAAAATAATAAATTGATTATGTAACAGTGACCTGTCTTCTGGTAAGGCAAGAGCCTGGAACACATTCATATCAGGCCGTAAAGCATTCTGTCTTAGTTACATGATATTTCCCCACAAAGCACTGTACCGTTTAAACCAGTTAAAGCCTAGCAGCCATGTGACGTTGAAGTTACCTCTAGAGGCGTTCAGAGTGGACAAGGGATTGGGCCAAAGACTACTGACAGAAACAGCTGACACTAAATGGGGAGGGGGGGTGGTGAAGCATGTTAGTAACATCAAATGAATGGTAAAATAGCATTGGAAAGCGCAGACTGTCAGAGTGAGAGCGTACTCACTGCTTCAGAGCCAGTCGGTGCTGCGCTGGATGATCTGTGTGAGAGGAGATCTGTGAGTCACAGCACATCAGAAACAACATGGAGTCTGAGCGCTCAGTCAGCAGCAGCAGCAGCCGGTTTCAGCTTTCCCCCCCCCACAGCAGCCCCCCCCAACCTCAGCCGCTGTGCTGCACAGAGCGGCTGAGGTTTCACTACAGATCATATCCCATGGGTCATTCTGCCTTCAAGACGCTAATGTCTGCTTAAAAAGTAGCAGGCTGCTGTAATCTTTCATGTTTAAGAGAAATGATTTCCTATCCAAATATATATATATTTTTGTATTGCTGTCATTATCAGATAAGACGGGCCTATAGTTGAACTCCTGTTCCTTAGAAAGGGTTAAGGCTGAACAAGATCAGACTTATGGCCCAATTCCAAACTCCCCATACCCCCTCCTCCTCAGTGATGGAGTAAACTCCATCTGTAATCTGAACTCTGAGCTCCTTCTTTAGTCAGAGGGTGTAAATACAGCGGCAAGCTTTGGGACGAGCTGCTACCATTTCTTTACAATCAAATGAACGTGTCTACAGGTTTTCAGACTAGACAGAGGTATATCATCCTAAGAAAAAATGTTTTAAATATAAAGGTAGCCTTCAATTTGTTTACATGTCTATGTTTTTTTTGCACAGTTTAATAGTAAATGTTTGCAACTATGTGTACACAGCATGTTGACAGTCACAAACAGCGTTGCATTTGGTCAGGTAGGGTGCTAATTAGTTCAGGACCAATGCAGACTTCCTGTTGGACTTTTTAATAACTTCCTGTTGCAGTGTTTAATAACTTCCTGTTGCAGTGTTTATAAACTTCCTGTTGGACAGTTTCATAACTCCCACTCTCTGCAAATTGGTTTGGAACAGAACTCAATGAGGCAGAACCTCCATGAAATGGGCACATCAATGATAGTGGTTACACTACACGTGTACATGTTTGTAGTCAGGCGGAACATTTAGCCTGATGGCTGTGCTTGAGCAAAGATGTCATATTATACTAATTTTCAGGGTTCATATTTGTGTTTTGTGCCATCTCTGTTCTGATTTGTCAACCACTAGAGATGTCCCGCCCCTTAGCCTATCATGTCCAATGTGTTGGAGCGCTAACCAATAAAAGCGCAAGTGTTACATAGTGATGTCACTATGTTACGGAAGAAAACTAAGGAGTCCAATGATACTAGTCGTTATGCAATTTACTGGGGACATAAATATGTGTCTGCTAAAACAATGTAACATAATGTAAAAAAACAAAAAGCATAATAGGTCCCCTTTAAACCTTTGTATCAGTTTCATTAATATTGTTTGGTGACATCACATATTTCACATCAGCATGACCAAAGATCTAACCAGCTGTGGTGGAGAAAACCTGTGTGGCTGTGCAAGGGACTTTAAAAAACGGTTGAAGATTCACAATAATCAAAATCAAAATGACACTGATTTCAGAAAGGACAGATTTTGGTTTCAAATGATCAGATACCAAACGAAAGAGGACCGAATGCTGCAACTTGATTGTAAGAAGATTTTCCACTTTTTCCTAGCACATAGTGAGTGACCTGTCGGAACACAGGCGGAAGTATTTATCCCATTGATTACGTCACTCCTACAATAAAGCCATGTCAGTGAGAGTACAGAGGAAATTAATGTATTCATTAAAAAATCAACTTGTTTTATGTTAAATTACAATAAGTATGTTATCATAATTAATTCTAAATTATAACGTTTTTGTACTTTTAAGTGCGGTTAACGTATTTGAAAATCTGTCAATTACTGGCCATTCGCATTACAGTGAATGAACAGTACCTAATTGAAACGCCACGTAGCCTACAGTAAAGTTAGTGTGTCAGCCAGGTATAAGCTATAACGCCAAATGTAACATGTTACTGTACCAAAAGCTTTCGGTGCAAACTCAACTATCCGTCTTATTTGAATATGCAAAACTTCTAAATGTCTTACTCTCGCTACTCACCAGCTCTGTCCTCTGCTCAGTACTGTTTAGGGAATGTTTGGAAAGCTACTTCCGCACTGCCTCAGCACAGTAGCAGGGTGCGCTTGTTTTGTGTTACAGCTAAGACAAGTAACGCTGCCATGGGCGGAGACAGAAGCTTAATTGACGCACAGAATGAAGCTTTAAAGCACCGCTCGGTGCAGAAATCTCAAACAATAAATCAAACGGCTACAAACACTTACTGACTCCACGTCAAAGTCTGAAAGCCATGTGACCGTGTTGCAGAATGGCCGAGCGGGCGGTGACAGCGAGCGCAGGGTGAGTGTCTCCCTAACCAAACCTGTTTGTAAAGTAATAAAGGGAATATTAGCGATATTCAATGTCATATCCAAATCTGGTTTATTCTATACCTGCATAGTTAGGGTAGTCAAAGTCGGGGTACGCTAAATGTACTAACATCAACACCACCCAACTTCCCTAAAGTTCAAGTTAATACTATACACCAGGGGTGCCCAACCGGTCGATCGCGGGGAGATTCCCAGTCGATCGCGAGATGTGTCTAAAAATAGAACAACAATATTCTGTGTTATCGTTAATGTCCTATAACATAATCTTCCTGTGCCAGAATAATGCACTTGAACGCATCAAGGCTTTGTGATTGGCCGGCGTGACCCCATGTGTCGGGGCATGGCTGGTGGACAGTGGGCACTATTTCGCTGACGTTGTCCGTGTCAACAGGAGTGACAGTCCGCACACACACAAGACCGCAATTATGGCAGAAGCAAAAAAGCCCAGCAACATATATGATTTTCACTCCTAGTGGGAGGATGATTATTTTTGTATCTATTCCAATTCAAAGTCCATCTGTCTCATCCGCAATGCGAGCGTGGCTTTATCGAAGAAGGGTTATTTATAATAAATTATCATTACACCTGGGTAAAACAGAGTCCATTCTCTTCGGTTCGAAACATAATCTCAGCAAATCCGACGACTTCTCAGTTGCAGTGGGCGACATTATTGTCACAAGTAAGAAGGAAATTACATACCTAGGATCTATTCTTGAGGCAAACCTCTCCTGTGACAAAATGGCATCCAATGTAATAAAAAAAGTCAATCAAAGAACTAGATTCCTATACCGGATCTCCTCTCTGGTAAACAAAAACACCCTGAAAACTCTGGCAGGAGCACTCATTCAAGGGTACTATGATTATGCTTGCAGTCATGGTACCATAGCACCTCCAAGGCGCTAAAAATAAAACTTCAAACATCGCAAAATAAACTGGTCAGACTACTGCTTGACCTTTCATCTAGAACCCACCTCACCTCTGCCCACTTTGACAACCTAGGATGGCTTAGAGTAGACGACAGAGTACAGCTACTTGCAATGGGCCTGGTCTACAAGATCCACTACACCTCTATGGTACCCATGTACATGTCAAAATTCTTCCCAAAGGTCAAGGAATACCATGATCATAACACCAGAGGGAGCTCCACAAATCATGTGAAACCCAGATTTGGCACAAAAAAGGGGGAATACACGTTTCGCAATTATGCCACATCAAGGTGGAACGCTCTTCCCACAACTGTAAAGGAAAGTAAAACTATACTTACCTTCAAAAGCTCTCTTAAAGAGCACCTTCGGGGGAGAGCATTGCAAAACTGGCCCCGGTAATGGTACAAATCTCAACCTGTCGTTCAATGGACAGCTTCCCCCCCCCCCATCTATGTATATACTCGCATTTTAGACTCTGTTACTAACTGTATATCTGTAGACTTGGTATGTCTTAAATGTCCGGTTAGGATGTATTAGAACGAACCACCTGTATGTAAATTGTAAATAAGCCATCTGTATGTCAAATATGTCTTATATGTCTTAAATGACATGATGAATTGGAAATGGGGGACCCTGATGTAAACAAGACGAAAGTCTTTCTCTGGTCTGCATCCCCTTAACAATTGTATGTTTTGAGCTGTACTGTACTGTACCCAATATACAAGCTGTTAATAAACTTTTCAATCAATCAATAGGAGCGGCATTTCAAAACAGTGCACAAACGCTACGAGACGGAATTCCCTCCTAATTCTACCCTACACTCCCAAAAGGGGAGGGGCCTGAAAGGACAGCTAAATGCACAGCAGTCCATTTTCACCAGGCCCAACAACAAGAGCAAGGCTGCTACCAGAGCATCTTATCGTGTCAGTCACGTTCTTGCCAAACACATGAAGTCTTTCAAATACGGCGAAGTTCTGAAAGAAGCATTCCTGGAGGCTGCCGATGCATAATAAAAATAACAGTAGCATTTCAACAGGTTTTTGATATAATAAAAACTCAAGTTAGATACCGTTATTAATCAGCTGTAAGTTTTAGTTTGTTTGAACTTATTCATTATAATTATTGTACAAAATGGTATAAGAATGCAAACTTAAATTGATTATAGTCTATTATCAATTCAGGTTAAGAAACTAGTGTTGCTTGCATCCTATTTTTAAGGCATTTATTTTTATAATCTACTAAAATGCAACAAAAAAAGGGTTTGATTCTATTAATGTTGTCTTTTTTATTGCACTTTGGCAGCAGATTCCTGTGTAGCTTCAGATCTGAGTTGTCTTATTAGTAAGCCTAATTTATACTTTTGTAGCAACACTATTTTTATATAATGGCAAAGAAAGGGTTCAGAGTCTTTTCTTTTTTCCTGTGTCATATGTGGCAGCACTGTTCAATGTTTCTTGAAAACATGACCCACTGTAGTGTGACGTGTGAATAAACACCAACTCTGTATCAACAACACTGTTGTGTAACTTCAGTTAAATACTTGTATGTGTGTAGATTAGAAAGAGGTAAGATAAAGGATCTGCAGTATTTTATGAAGTATTCATCGTACAAAGGTCAGTTTTATACAAGTAGAAGTGTGTATTTACCTGGTAGTAGGCTGTCAGTAATGGCTACGCCTCTCTATTTGGACTGGTAGATCTCGGCAGACTGGCAACTTTAAAAGTAGCTCTCGGTTCAAAAAAGGTTGGGCACCCCTGCTATATACACACACACACACACACACACACACACACAACACTGACACACACACTGAAGACAAACTTGTTGTCAGATAGAACAAGAATTGGCCCATGCTGTGCCGATCAGAGGTGGAAGAAGTACTTGGGTCTTGAACTTGAGTAAAAGTAGAAGTAGCTACCAGAGACTGAGTGTAAAATAACTGCAATCAAAATGTTATTCAAGTAAAAGTGCAAAGGTATTAGCATCAAAATATACTAGTCATTGTGCAGATTGGTCCATTTCAGAATACTATATATGATATGTTTTATAATGATTGATCATGAAAGTGTTCTCAAAGCTGGTAAAGGTGCAGCTAGTTTGAATGACTTTGTATACTGCAGGGTAGCTTGTGGATTTACTCCAGGTGGAACTAAAGTCTGATTTAACACTTGATTATATTTCACATCATTCTTCCAGATCTGTAAAGTAACTAAAGGTATTAAATACATGTAGTGGAGTAAAAGTACACCATTTACGTCTGAATTGTTGTGGAGTAAAAGTACAAAGTAGCATCAAATGGAAATAATAAAGTAAAGTACAAGTATCTCAAAATTGTACTTCAGTACAGTACTTAAAATTGTACTTAAGTATGTAAATGCCAATGAGGTAATACTCATATTATATACAAATATGAAAAATATTTTTTTCCACTTCACTAAAGTATGCTTTTAGTACAAGGATTTCACTGGTAGTTTGAATGTCATCCATAGTAATATCTAGTGTGGATTTAAAACACATGTCCTCCTTACCGGTATTATCCCTCAACAGTACTGTAACTCTCTGTGCAATCAATAATGCACGTGTTTGATTTGTATTATTCTAAGTACTTTGCAATAGTATACTTCACATAGTTTTTTGGTGTATCCAGATTTAATGTACATCTTTTTCTATATCCTAATGTATAATATTTTCAATTCATTTTATTGTATTTTTTGGTTGTATTTCTTACTTACTGTATGCACCATGTACACCAAGGCAAGTTCTTCTTATGTGTTAACCTACTTGGCCATAAACCTTTATCTGATTCTGATTTCGATCAGCCTCTCTCTTTGTTTCATTCTGCTGTGGCTTCAGGGTTGTGCAGAGAACGATGTCTGCTGTCGGGGCTGACAGGCTGCTCAGCAGTGTGTGGGGCTACGCTGACTCTACCTTACGGTAAGTCTGTACTGTTAAACATGCTACGTGGTTTTAGATCAACCTCCTCTCCTCTAAGAAATGTGTTGTTCCTTTACCTGGATGGATGTGCAGAATGATGTATGTGCAGAGTCTGACACATGTTCACATTCATGAGCTTCAGAATCACTATACCTTTATTCGTCCCACAGAGGGGATATTTGCAGCTTCTTCTGTGCTCACATAAATCTCAGTTTTTGAAGAGCAGGTTTTTATGATGTCACAACTCCTTTAGAGACAATCTTATGCACTTGTGATCTGTAAACCTCACATACAATAAGAATGGACTTCTCAGGGAATTTGGAGACACCTTGTGTCCCTATTCTATTTTTTTTATTTGATCACCCCTGTAACATATTGTTTAAATGTACTTATTTATTAATCATACACTTAGTTTTGCCAGTCCATAAAGCACATTTCAGAAATTGGCAAACTTTATATTTATATACACTCGTCAATTTATTAAATAACCTGCAATATATCAAATGAGATCAGTCTAATTCAACAGTTCTTAGCCGCAAATATTTTCCAAACGCTGCGCATGTGTTGTCATGATATTTCTTCATTTGCATGTGTTCTGGCACATTTGTGTTTTTATATTTTCATCCTTTTTGAAAATGCAGGGCATTTCTCATTATGGCTGTTGTACCTGTTGGCCCTGCGTTTTTATGAAAATGATATACAATGTACAGCTTCTATTGAAATGTAGCTCATTATAGACGCTGCGATGGTGCTTCCAATTTCTTTTGGATTATACTGTTATAAAATGTTGCAAATATTTTGTCCACCCAAGTATTATTAATGGGTGGAGTCATCAGTGTTCTGGCCCCTCTCTTTAATGTGCTGTCCCCTAAACAGAGCCTCCCTGTGAAACCAGTGGAGTTCCCTTCGCTTCAGACGGAGTAAACCACACTGAGAGCTCAGTTCACATGATCAGATGTGACGGTGACGCTCTTCATAAATGCTCTCTTGCACTTTTCAATCGATGCTGTTATATTTGTATGTCCCTGTCTAAATCCTTTATGCATAGCCCCAGCCTGCAGCGACACCCTGTCCCTGATGTACGTAATGAAGCTTTCTGTGTGTTGTGTGTGAATGTGTGTCTGTGTATGTGTGTGTAGGTGGTGCTGGATCCCCCGCCTCCTGCCCTCATGGTGTCCCACCTCTGAGGATCAGCTGCAGACTGCAGAGGACATGATGCTGAGCTGTAAGCTTCTTCTCTTTTAACCTTAGTTTGCACATATGACTGTCAAAATGTAAGAGTATTGATTATAAGACACAATTTAGTTTTTACTATATGTTTCATGTGAGGAGGAACTGCCACCATACCAGGGTTGCCAACTCTCACGCATCTGGCGTGTGACACACGCTTTCACTCTCAATCTCACGCTCTCACGCTGCCCAAACTATTCTCACGCCAAAAACAAGAATACTGAAGACTAGAAACTGTTTTGAAAACTTTTGTCAGGTAGTGATCGTCTTCTCAATAGAACATCTTTGATAATGTCTTCTGGCCAATCAGAATCAAGATAACGGCGTGGTGTTGTTCCAGGAAGTCCCGACGGAGAATACTTTTGCTGTAGTACATACATCGATACAACATTACGTGTTGATAGAAATCAACACGTAATGAAATAAGACCCCACGGTTTGATGATTGATAGGTGCAGGGATGTGCACAGGTACGGGCTAATGTTGCCAGGGCAACGGCCCGTTTGGCCTTTTTGGCTGACCTGCCCCTCTGGAGAGAGCGAGAGTTTATTTTTATTTTTTCTGTTGTGGCCGAATCAACATGATCGAGGATCTGATTAATTAAGGGATATAGGCCTACACTGTGGCCCTAAAGCAACTGCTCCATTATCTGTATCAAATGCAGACATTGATGCCACCAAATGTCACGATAAAAATAGAAAGTACTACAAATAAACTGGAATTCATTTACATCTTAAATTATGAATATATATATATACACAAAAAAAGGTTTACAAATATCCAACCTTCAAATTGCTTTTTTAAATCAACACTGCTCTGCACACTTGCTAAAGAACATTTGTCTGGAAATCTCAATTCATTTGTAGGGCTGCGTGAGTATGGCCAAAAGTATGGGAGTAAATCTCACTGTAAACTATTTAATCATCACCAAATTGTTATTATGTTATTATGTAATTGTGTTATTATGACCGATCATAACTCAGCTTTATGCAGACATATTTAGCATGGTGTACAGGGCCGCTTCTTGGCATAGGCGACATAGGCGGTTGCCTAGGGCGACAGGTGTAGGTGGGGGGGGGGGGCGCTGCACTGGCAGCTCTGGGAGGGAAAAAAACATTTTTACTGTTTGCGTTCATTCATACAATACCGAATACATTTGAAGCCTTTTTGATGTATATTACCAACATGTCAATACGTTTCTGTTTTTGTAGTATATTGGTCTTTTGTAGAGATTTTTCATTTATTCTTTATATATTCTATTGTGTATTCCTTGGGTACTTTTATTTTTTCTATTGTACGATTGAAGTAAATGTGGGAAGCGTTTAATAACAGCCATTTACTTCAAAGATAGTTCGCGATGTTATTCTTATTTTTGTTAATCCTGGAAGAATGCCAGAAAAAAAGACATTCTCTTCAAGAATAAAAAAAAACATGAGATTAGTAATTGTGAAAACAAATTAAATAAGTTGTTAGGTTAAGTCAGGGCCGTTTTTTGGCATTGGCGACATAGGTGGTCGCCTAGGGCGCCAGATCTGGGGGGGGGGCTGCGCTGGCAGCTCTGGGAGGGAAAAAAACATTTTGACTGTTTGCGTTCATCCTAATTTTCGGCCTTGATGTAACAGCATTCATAATTAAGTCAAGGTAACACCCTTTTCACCCCGGGTTACACTTTTTATTTGCCCTGTACGATGGGCGCTGTAACGGCCCGTCTACACTACAGGCATAGAAAAATGCTTTCAACGCTTCGCCCATTCATTTGAATGGGGTGACGTAGAAGATTTTTAAACTTCGCCGAACTGCATTGTGGGGAGCATGGCATGGCTTTGCAAGCATCACGAGCATCTATCGGCATCAAAAGTTGAACAATGTTCAACTTTTGAGGCTCGATGCTTGGCATCAGCCAATCAAATCCCGCGTATGCAAATCTGACAGTACAAGCGCTAGCCAATCAAACCGCGTGTATGCTGGGAGAGACTACGCAGGTCATTTCCTCATATTCAAAAACATGGAGGGAAAATTCATTATAGCGGTAGTGAATCACCCGGTGCTGTATGATCAGTCTCTGTTCATCTACCGGGATACAAACCGGAGGAGCGAGGCATGGAGGGAGGTGGCAGAGACAGTGGATGAAACTGGTAGGTTTTCGCCTGTTTGGGGATTTTATATCCAGTTTACTTCGTTTTAACATTGCTATTGCTTTGTATGCCGTGGGCGGGCGGGAGATTCCTGATTGGTTGTTGGTCGTCTTGGGCGCGAGAAATCGCCAAGCCTCAGACACGCCCAGCTTCAAGATTTTTTGATGCCTGTAGTGTAGACGGGCCGTGAGTGATGAAAGTGGGGGGTGTTGGCTTATCAGGCGTCCGCAGCTCACAGCCAAAGTGGGTGTGGGATCGAGCGAGAGAGATAAATGCAATTTATGTAAACAAATATTTTCAAGGCACTCTTTTATAATTATTGGGGTAAACAGGTTTGAAATCATTTCAATGTATACTATAGGACAGTAAACCAAAAATATTGTTTAAAACTTGAGAGATACAAAAATATGCATAAATAAACGTTAACTAGGTCAAATAAGATATGAATGAACAACAAAAATAAAATAAGTTGCATTTATTTGCTATTGGCTATGGTAGGTTATTGGTTATGTTCACATACTTATTTGATTATTAAAATGTAAACCAATCTTTTTCATATGGGTGTTTTACGGCCCGTCCACACAGCAGCGTGCGTTGAAAGCTTCACCATTCACTTTGAATGGGGTGACGTCACTTTGCTGGCGTGGCTCGCTGCAAAAGTTGAGCAATGTTCAAGTTTTGAAGCCACGGCAGAAGCGTCAGCCAATCGAATCATATGCCAGTACAAGCTCTAGCCAATCAAACCGCTGCTTGTATGTCAGGGGCGGGAGATTCATGTGATTGGTTGTTGGTCGAGTTTCAGACACGCCCGCCGGCAAGCTTCAACGCACGCCGCTGTGTGGACGGGCCGTTAGAGTTGTACCCCCTAGATCAGGTCTCTAGTAATGTGTGCTCTAAGTGCACCAGATTGAAGCATTTTACTTTAAATGTTCAAACAATTCTTCCCGGGGGGAAGACCCCCCTAGAGGATGTGATGTCCTCACCCCAATTAAAACATGTTCATATAATACTGAATACATTTGAAGCCTTTGATGTATATGACTTACAGTATGTCAATACGTTTCTGTTTTTGTAGTGCATTGGTCTTTTGTAGAGATTTTTCATTTAGCAGCAAATTGGTTAGAACCGGCCCTGATGGTCTAGGAAACGGGCTCCGTGTTCAGTGGCGTTTCTATATGTACACAAGTGGTGGGGCACACAAAATGTAGATGTCTAAGCTTCTGCAGTGAGGTTCATGGCTGGTGAGGCTCTGGCACTGACTCTTCAGGTTTACAAATATTATATTTTGACCTAAATCAAAATATAATATTATTTTCAAAAGCTTTTTTTTTCTGATGCTTCAATTAATTTTAAACAGACAGTTCAACAGAAGGATACCCAAAAAATGTAATTGTATCATTTAAATATTGAATTGTTCTCTCTTAGTAAGATCCCATTTTCAATAAAATTGCAGTCTTACCTTGACTTGAAGATGAAGTCCATTTGCCTATCCTTCTGGACAAAAATATCTATTACTTTTTTGTAAAAGTCCTCCTTATGTTCTTGTAGTTTCAAAAGTCTATCATAAATCTAATCTAATCAATAGATTTATGATTCGAAAATTATAAAAGTAGGGTAGACATGTGGATATTATCCGGCTGAACAAAACGTGCATTTATCTAACAGCTACGTTTCCCACAGATCTTATTTTGAGCTATTTTCTAAAATCCTATGGAGAAATATCATTGCTTTTTTGTGGAGGGAAGCCATGCGCAGCTTACTTCCTGGTTTTAGGACGCGTCTCTCTCCTCCTCTTCACACACCACACTTTTCGCGGCACACGTACTTACAGCCAATCAGCTCTGAATGATGTAAGATGACGTATGGTGGGGATGGCAGCTCTATGCCCCTATGGTCATTATTTTTTGCCACACACATTAAATAGGAAAATACTCTGAGCATGCGCAGTGTAGTTTTTACAGTCACCATTGACTTAAACAGGGAGAGGGAGGGGCAGGATCGGGTTTTGTCCCACATGGCTCTAAACAGCTCAATAGGCACACACTGTAGACACTAATTAGAAGAACACAGACTAAAACAGCAATGAGACGAATCAGATGATTAAACATGATCTTAAAATATATTTGATATATATTTTAATTTATTTTTTGCATTTTGTTGTAATCATTATTTTAATACTATATGCTGACACTAGGTGGGGCTGTGCCCCACCTGCCCCTAATGACCAGTCGCCACTGTCCGTGTTACAAGACGGGTCGGGAGTTTGGCGGTACCACTGCAGACTCTCTGCACACACACACACACACACACACACCGCTGCAGACTCTCTGCACGAAGGAGGCACGGTGCTGCAGCTCCTGATCGGAGCAGAGACACACGTTCACTCTGCGGAAAAACGATATCCTGTCACAGAGATCTGCTATTTTAAATGTTAAAGTCAACACATATCGACCCTAAATAAAGTCTATATTAAGAACGAGAGATGTTTTGACATTATGGCTTAAACAAATGACAAATGAGCGAGGGCGATGACGTCAGAGCATCGTCCTATGTGCCGGGGCTGAGCCCCGGACAGCCCCGGTCCAATTTAACCCCTGGTTAGAGGCCTTATTTTATCAGTATGTCTGGACTGCACAGCAGTTACAATGGTCAAACTACATTTGAACAGAGTTGTCCCCATTTTGTCTTTAATAGTTACTAACATTAGATATTTTAATGAGATATGGACCGCATAACAAAAAATGTCCCTGATTTTCATTTTTGAAATTAAGTCACCGAATGCAAGTAGTCGCCTTAGCTTATTTTGTTATGAGATGTGAATTACTGTTCAATTTAGTTGATGTAATAATCATTTGGTTTCT